TAAACTTTATAACCATGGAAGAATCCTCCGTCAAAGTAATCTTCTTCTCCTTAATTATAGATTTCTTCTTTCATTCTTTGCATCTCTATTAATCGTTTCTTTCTTCACAAGAAAGAGAAGAAAAAAAATTGTAGTAGAATTTCTAATTAGATCTTTTGTACCCTAGAGTCAGGAATCGCTGGAATTGAAGTGTAGAAAAAGGTAAATTCATTATTTTTTTCTTCTTTTCCTTTTCGTTTTTGTGGGAACTAGATTTTGTCATATGTTGATAATATTTTTCTCATGCAATCAAATTGTAGCATTAGCACGATTTCCGTTGAGGGATATGACACTTCGCTTCATGGATATCCTCTCAAGCTCGCGTTGAGAAAGCACTTCGCGTCATGCGGAAAGATCGCAAGTATGTTTGTTCCAAGAGACTTTAAAAGGGGTATCCTCAAGAGTCCTCTCTTCATTGATTTTTGGGGAGAAGGTGCGAGAGACAAGGCATTGGAACTTAGTGGAAGTGACGTGGGAGGTTGGAATATAGTCGTTAAGGCTGTACCCCGGCAGGAAGATTACTATGATCCTGCGGGATTCAACTTCTTCAGGGGAAAACGCGAGTAAGTTGATTTGTATTATTATCTACTGCAACTTAAAGTCTTAGGATGCTATATAATATTTCTCTATTGCAATTGAATTTTATAGGTTGGTGGTTAAGGTATATGATTTACCTTCTTCGGTGCGTAAGATTGATGTCCAAATCGGGCTCTGTAAACATTTCTCTTCATGTGGAGAGGTCACTTGTGTTACTGTTTTAGTCCACGGAATCTTTGCTCACCAAAGGTTTGTGGCTTCTTCCTCCTATTTGTGAATTTTCTCCTAGCTCTCTCAAGTTATTAAATTCTAACAAAAGACTTGAATTTTACAGAAATTCTATAATTTCTATTATTGGAGAAGGATGTGTCGACAAGGCGCAGGAACTAAGTGGACAATGTAACACAGATGGATGGAATATTGTAGTTGATTCTGTTGTCCCGCTAAGTTCCGATAAAAGAAAGCCTACCGGCTGTGAACATCCATGTACGTAAATTTCCTCTTGCTTGTTGATTTTTTTTTTCTGCAAACAACTCTTGCAAAACTATAACTTCTTATTAATTTCATTGTTTATACTTTATAATAGCTATTGTACTTGAGAGGATTAAGAAAGCTAAGATGGAGAAGGAGAGGAAGATGAAGAAGAAAACTCCGGAGTAGAAGGCTCTCTCCTTAATTAGGAGAAGACGAAGCTCTTTAATTTGGTGTACTTGTCATACAATGCAACCTTTTGTGGTTTTTTTAGAAATATTTACTCAGATGTTAACCAAAAGTTCGAATATTACTAGAATATCATACATTTTCTAAAAATTACTCATATGTTTTGAGCATTTGTGTAATTACAATTAACACCCTTCATTAGTTTTTTTTAATTAATAATTTTTAATTCGTTTTTAATTAAAAATAATAAATAAAAATTTGATTATCCATGTCATTAATCCACATCACCAATCTCACACTCCTCAAACTCACGTTATTTCTCCTCTTCTCTTTTTTGTCTCCAAATCCAAGAAAAGCTTTTAGATCATTTCTCCTCTTCTCTTTTTTTTGTCTCCAAATCCAAGAAAAGCTTTTAGATCTAATAATCTGCAACTAACTTGGGTACAACATTGACAGAGATCTTCAAATTGCAGGATTGGGCTGGATCTTCCTAGACCTCACAGCCACAACGCTTGCCATAGGGTCCCAAATCAAAAGCTTCGTCAGATCTACTCGCAACCACGCTCACGAAAAAAGTCATCAAAAATCAAAACCCAAAACAAAGAGATCTATGGAATTCTACATGATTCGTTACAGGTTTGAGTTGAAATCAAGAATAGCTACTCTTTTACTTTGATTTTACATGTCTCTCGTTTAATCTTCCTCTCAATCGATATATTTGGAGACATTTCTACTTCTATCTATGTTTTGATTCATACGGTTTAGTCTTCCTCCTATGTATCCCTCAAACATATTTTTACGAATCTTAATTTGATTGTTGTTATTTGACCAATAAATTTCATATTGTCTTCTCCAAAAAAATGTTGCTTTCTGATCTGTATTATAAATCAGCCGTAAAGTGATGTAACTCAGCCGTAACGTGATGTAACTCAGCCGTAACATATAATTTACACAACCTTTCGTCTTCCCTGAATGATAACTCAGCCGTGACATGTAATTTACCGAACCTTTCGTCTTCCCTGAAGCATATAACTCACCCGTAACATATAATTTACACCCATCTATCGTCTTCCCTGGAGAATATAACTCAGCCGTGACATGTAAATTTACCGAACCTTTCGTCTTCCCTTAAACATATAACTCAGCCGTAATGTAATTTTACCGAACCTTTCGTCTTCCCTGGAACATATAACTCAGCTGTGACATGTAAATTGACCGAACTTTTCGTCTTTCCTTAAGCATATAACTCAGCCGTAATGTAATTTTACCGAACCTTTCGTCTTCCCTGGAACATATAACTCAGCCGTGACATGTAAATTGACCGAACCTTTCGTCTTCCCTTAAGCATATAACTCAGCCGTGACATGTAAATTTGCAGCGAAACAATAAGAGACGTAACATTTCCTCTAACTTTATCATCGAGCACCAACTTCACAAGTTTTTCGTGCGTTGTTTTCGCATCTATCTGCACAACTCTACACCCTCTTTCATCGGTGTTAAATACGTATTTGTGTTTTTATACCCAATTACCGGAACCGGATCAACCATATCGGGAGAAGGATGAAAGAAATTGAAGAAGAATGAGGAAGACGATGAGGAATTGGAAGTTCTGGTGATGTGATAAACTCAGGTGAAGAAGACGAGTTGAAAAAATTTGGCCCTATTTTTTTGTCCTTTGATGATGATGACATGGAATGATGACATGGAATGTTGCATCCACGTCATTTTTTAATTGATGAAGTGGCAAGTAAGCCACCAAACGAAAATGTAAATCAGCTTAATTAAACCAGCCATCAAACAAAACTTTAACTCAGCCGCAACATGAATACTATTACAGTAATTAAAAAACGAAAAAACGGCAGCCAAATTCAGCCGTTTACTGTCGTAACTCAACCAAAAATATTTAACTCAGTCGTATCGTTTAATAAGTCGGCCGTCATTGCATGCTATTCTAGTAATTAATCTTTCGCTACTAAGTCAGCCATAATAAGGCCGAGTTTTCCGTTAATCCAGCTCATTACGGCTGATTTATGATACTCGAACATAAATCAGCCGTAACGTCATCCCATAACTAAGCCGTCTTTGATAACTCAGCCAGCCGGAGAAAGTTAAGTCAGCCGTGTCGAAGCAATAATTCAGCCAAAAATTTGACAAATCAACCATCGGATGAAAACTCAGCCGTAACTTAGGCTGGATTATGCTCGAAAGTCAGCCATTTTATCATAACTCAGACAGATTTCAGTAAGTCAGCCGTAACTCCAGGCTGGGTTATACTCGTAAGTCAGCCGTTTGCTCATAACTCAGCCATTTTTCTTAAATCAGCCGCAACATACCGTAACTCAACCGTCACTGCCGCTATATCGCTCGACGGCTGAGTTCATTAATACACGTCAGCGATTTCTGACGTGGCGACGCGGCTTTGCTGACGTGGCAGTGGCATTCTTTGTAATTACGTTTTTTCCTGTAACGTTTAACAGGGGCACGCTGGGTATAAAAAATATACCCGAAATATGATAGTAATAAAAAAAAGATCTGTATGTTTCTGGTAATTTCATATAAAATGTATAACATCTGAGTAAATCTCCCGTTTTTTTAAAAAAGCTTAGCTAGAAGCATTAGGAATACAAATTTTTCTATACTGCGAAGATATGATTACAACTATATGAGCTTAGTCCAGGCCTAAACTAAATTTAAGGCCCAATCGTTTGTTTTTAATTACGAAAGAACAGTTGTGTGAGTCCGAAACCAGAATAAATAATTAACAAAAGTAATTTAAAAAAAAATAGCCACAAGAAGGTTGTAGAAACTCACTTTTCCCGGCGACAGATCCTCAGATTACACAACATTATCAAAAGCTAAAAACCAATGAAAAATCTGTTTGCAACATTATTCATATCTCAAAATTGCAAACCAACAAATTGTTCTGAAGAAGCTCACAACATAGAAACGGCCAACAAATTTTGGGAAAAGATAAAAAACGCTAGAGTTGATTAGTCTTTCTCTTGATGTAGTAGAAAGGCTTATGGAAGGAGAAGAGGTCCAATGTCGTTATCGAACTCATATATTAAGAGTAAACGTTTCATAAATTAATCTGTAATTTGACTTTTCGTTTAATGTGAATACTTTCTTATATGATTCAATCGTAGTTGTGTAAAATACAATATTCTAGTCGCATTATCTATTATGCCCTGACCACTAGAAAGTCTTTAGAATTTTGGTCATAGTCATACACTCTTACTTGTTTGGAAATAGTTGACTTTTGTTATCCCTCATCTACTTATTCTTCTTTCTCCGACTTCTTTTTTTCAACCAAAAAAATATATAAATAATTATTCAAATAATCAAATATATAAACAAATTCATAATAATAATATAGCACAGCGAGCTAAACAATTAATCAACTTTAGTTTGTATTTTCTTTCTAGAACTCAAATTCTCACTTCTATAATCCAATATTCTTCTCTAATCCCAAAACTTTTTCGATTTTACATTAATCCTCTTTCGATTTCGATTTTTTTTGTAAACTTTTTTTAATCATTAAAGTGAATCTTATTTTTGTGATTTTTCTCCTTCTCTTTCTTTTACAGAGATATACTCGAAATCGTTTTTAACTTTTTTATACGTCACGAACATTCTATCCATCTTTTACGTAATAAATACATAAAAATAGACAGTAAAATATTTTAAAATGACTAATATAATTAAAATGATTACGTACACTTTGGGTCCATTGCCAATTACAAAAAGGGTTTGGTCACTGCTCTAGTTTCCAACACCAAACCAAAAAAAAAATGGATTTAACAAAAATAATATCATTCTCTCTATTATTCCTCTCTCTCCTAATCCCGACGACGACGACTTCCACCATTACATGCACTAACGCCGCTTGTAGCCGTGACGGCCCGATCATCCGTTTTCCATTCCGTCTAAAACATCAACAGTCCCATTCTTGCGGTTACGACAAAGGCTTCGACTTAACGTGCGATATTAACGCCGTTAACCGAACCACCATAACGTTACCTTTTTCCGGTAACTTCACCGTCGAAGAGATCGATTACGCAGCTCAAGAGATTTGGATCAACGACCCAAATAACTGTCTTCCTCAACGGATCTTAGAGCTAAACCTCAACACGACGCCGTTTAGTGGCGTTTACATGCGTCAGTTCACGTTCTTTAACTGTCCTACTTCAGAGTATCTCCGTTTTAGGCCGTTGAATCCGATAACGTGTTTGAGTGGTAAAAACAGCACGGTGTTTGCTACTCCTTCGCCTAGAGTGATAAACTACTTGTCGTCTCAATCATGCCGGTTAATGAAAACCGTTTATGTCCCGGTTCGTTGGCCGTTTTATGAGCAGATCGTGTCGTCTTCGGATTTGAGTGATAACCTCTGGCTCACTTGGAGGGTTCCGAGATGTAGTAGGTGTGAGATTAAAGGTGGTAAATGTGGGATTAAGAGTAATTCTTCTAGTGAAATCATTTGCTCTGATGTTCATAAACCAGGTAATTATTTTGATTTATTTTCACCCTAATTTTTTTTTATTTTTTATTATCTTTAGTTTTTTTAATTTCTAGAACGTTTAAGAAAAATTTATTTTTATAATGTGAAGATATGATTTAGACGATTAGAGTATATTACTTTGACGTAGACCATGACGAAATTTTGTTTTGAATGAGTCATGTGTTTGTGTGTGTATATAGATTTATAAATTTCGTTGAAAGACGAGCTAATACAACCAATTATTTTGTCCGTTCTGATTGTTTAAATATGAAAACCACATGAGACTAATAGACTATTCAACTACATATATTGAGTATTGACTAATGAAACCAATAGGTGAAATAAAAATATTTATATGCGTGTACACATACATATTAATTCTGTACAATACAAAATATCTAATTAATTAAAGTACATAAAACTACGATATACGAAAAGTCAAACGAGAAAACTTTCAAAAGTCGCATAAGTTTACCAAAAGGACTAGCTTATGAATGTGAAAGGCACATAGCTAGGCGTTTTTGGTTTTCCTCAACCTTCTTATCTTAGAAAAACATCGTGTTTTTATCATAAATCAAAATTTGTGGTTTATCATCAATTAATTTTTATATAGTTAATAAGACGTATACAATGATAAATCGGTAAAATTAAATTCAGAATTTTCTATATAGCTTTTCTTGTTTTTCACTTTCACTAAGAAAATTTATAAATGAGAAAGGAAAAAACACACACGCATTAATTGAGAAGAATGAGAAGTTGGACGATAGATAATCAGTGAAGTCGACAAAAGGGTCGGTGCCGTAATAATGAAAGCTCCAAATGCGTTGACTTATCTCCACTTTAACTTTGCCCTACTTCTCTCTTTAAGTCAACGATTTTAATTGTTACCCATTTACTAAGTCTTCTCTTCTACCAATTACATATTGAGGGTTGAGGCATTATTTTTCAACCTTTATCCTTATCTTTTCATTACACATAATTTAATCATATGATTAATATTTAATCATACTTTTTAGTACTATTATTCTTTTTCTCTAATCAATCCTCTTTAATTTCAGCTATTCCGAGAAGAGCTCGTTACGCAATAGCCATCGGCGCCGGAATCCCAGGAGCTTTAATCGTCTTTGGTCTTTTCTGTTTCATTTACAGCAAAATCAGTTCATGCATTAAACGACGCCGTCTCGTCCCAACCCCAGAGATCAACCACGCTCAAGCCCATTATTTACATTCTAGTGTCAACGTAATGGGCCTTGATGGGCCAACTATAGAGTCATACCCCAAAATAGTATTGGGAGAGAGCAAAAGGCTGCCCAAAGTAGATGATGCTACGTGTGCTATTTGTCTATCGGAGTATGAGCCAAAGGAGACGCTTCGGACAATTCCACCGTGTCAACATTGTTTTCATGCTGATTGTATCGACGAGTGGCTGAAATTGAATGGGACTTGTCCGGTGTGTCGGAACTCTCCGGAACAGATTTTTCCGCCTGAGAACCATAATTCTTAAGTTAGTCTCTTTTGTGTTTTCTTTTTCGTTACATCATTTGTACTTTTGTAGTTAGTTCAATACTCCATCCGTTTTAAATTAAACGCCGTTGTTAAGATTGTTCTTATATACATATCATAAAGAAGAGTTTTTAGTGTTTTTTTGGGTACAAATTTCATAACTTGTATAGAGTAGGGTTCTCACATCCAGTGCCGGCCCAATGTTATTTGATGCCTAAAGCAAACCAAAAAATCGTTGCCTCAAAAAAAAAAAAATTCTCCTTAAAAAAACAGCATAATTCTTTGAAACTTAATGTTAACATGAGTTCAAATAAAGGAAAAGTCTTAAAACCAAAAACAGAAAATACAGAAGCATCATTGTTTTTAAAAAAAAAATGAAAAAAATAATAATAATTTAATATTAATCAATCTAATATAGTTGTTTAGTAAATATAAAAGAAGACTAAAAAAAGATTTAGCAAAATAGGTTTTAAAAACAAATTAAAATGTTTAGTGAATAATTTAATGTTAATCAATCAAATATAATAATATAAAAGGAAATTGAAGTTAGAAAATTCAAATAATCGGGTAAATTTAAAATAAAAATAAAAAGTAAGAAAAATATTCGGTTTTGGAAGAAAAAAAGGTAATAGGATTCGAACCTTGGTTGAGGAGGTTAAGCAAATGTTGCTCAACCACTAGGCTACTGGACACTTACGACATTAATTCGATGCCCTTAACAATATATACAATTTCTTGCTGCCTAAAGCATTGGCTTGTTGGGCTTTAGCCGTGGGCCGGCCCTGCTCACATCCAACAATAAAAAGTTAGTCTTTTATATGTACTTTTTTGTCCCAAGAACATGCATAACACATGTTTGAATTTGGGTGGTTATAAATCAATTGCACAAGTACTAATTAACCAGTAAAACACATCACGATCATTTTTGAGGAGTACCACTATTGTTCCCTTAAATTATAGCACTTGTAGGACGTATACAAGGGTTGGTCCAACTTAACATTATTGTGAATTCATTCATAAGAAATATGAATTTCAAAATTTGGATTTATGTGGTATTTCATATGTTTCATAGATTTTTCTAATCAGGACGAAGTACTCTACTCAAATAAGGAGAAGATTCTCGAACGATGAAAATGACCCAATGACTTTGGTTTAGTAAAGACACCGACATCTACCCATTCATTATTCGTGGGCCCTGCTTCATTTTTTGTTTATGAAACTTTTTTTTCGATCGATATTCAAGTAAGCTTACGTGACGTCTAATGATGTTCGATGAAAACTCCAAATATTCGTCGACGTTTAATTCACTAAACGACGCGTGTCACATCTTTGTGTATCTATAGATTAGATAATGACTTTTCATCTACCACTTATTCCTATTGGTGAAATTAAATCCAAAGAGATAAAACTGAGATTTTGGAAATGACAAGAGAGCAATACAAGACTAAAGACTTAATTTTGTGAAGATATTCAAATGCAAGTAAGGAAACCAATCACATTCTATCTACTGCAAAGACTTGATTCATTGTAGTCTGACCACTCTTGGAGGCTAACTTAGGAGCCCAGTCGGAATAGTAAAAATGAGTAAAAAACCGATTGGATATCCGACACATATGTTTAATACTGAACATGCGAACTTGTTTAGTAAATCAAATTTGGATACAAGATAGAAAATCGAGTCTACTTCAGTTTAGTAGTTGTTTCCACTCTCAAATTATTCTAACCAACAATTTAGACTTGGGTATGATCGGTCACATATCGACTCAAACAAGCAAATCAATACACAGATTTCTTTATCAAGATCTCCATGAAAACAAACGTGATTAGTCATGTAGACCAATCAATCCGTAAACTGAACAACAGAAGCTTACTTAATTAGTCTCATGATCGGTAAGTCGATAACACTAAGCTAATTTTTTGAAATTTTGGATCCTACCTAATTTATCCCAAATTAACCAAGGGTCGATACTCTTATAGCATTCGAAGCAAAGCTTTTTAAGTGGGGAGCCACTTCCCCTACTCTCTCGGCTGTGTTTACGGAGTTTTAAAAGATTTTTCGATTCTAAACTCTATAGTTTAAAGTTTAAACCGTATTTTAATGTTAATATTATAAAAGTAAACTATATATTAAAAAAATAATTCGAAAAAGCAGAGTTGCATAACGAGAATAAATAAATTAAAAAAATAAGAAAAAAGTTGTTTTTAAGTCTGTCGTGGGGATCTTCTGAGGGAAGCAAATAGAGACCTTTACACAGAGAAAGAGCCTCTGAGAGAAGTGAGAAACGCAACAACAACACCGAAAGAGAGAGTCCAAATTCGAAAGAGAGAAAGAATCAAATTCCTTCTTCTTTCTTTTTGTTTTTCAATTACTACTTTAATCTTCTTTCCCGCTCACTATTCTTCTTCAGATCACGTTCTGCTTCTTCCGATACGTCTCTCTTCTCCGCCGTTTACGACCAGGTCTCTCTCATTACCTCTCTCTTTCTCTGCCTCTATCTCTCTCTTGCTCGCCGCTAATCTTTCTTTGTTCGTTCGCATTTGAGGTTTTGATCCTTCCGATGTCGATGAAACTTGATTGTGTTGGGGTTTTGTATCCGGTTTGAAATTTCTCTGTTGCGTTTTGATGATTGAGAAAGGTTCGATTTTGGGATGATTCTGGGTTTTATAAACCCTATTTTACTGTTTCTCTCTGCAATAAATTAAAAAGTCATATTTTTCGTCTACAAAATAAAGCCATTGGTGGGTGCAATACTAAAAATTTCGTCTTTTTTTGGTAGATGAATTTCCTAAGTTATACACTTCTATAATCGGACTAACCGTTCTCTATAAAGTGTCCAACTTTCCAATTTGTAAGATTTGTTAATTAATGTTGTGAAGATTTAGCTTCGTGGGTAACTTTCTTTCTTCACCTTTGTGTTGCGTCTTGTTGATTTGGTTCTAGGGTTAAATACTAAACCTTTATTAGTTCTCTTTTGGTTTCGAGAATTTGCTGAATCTATTCAACGGTGTTAGTTTTAAGTCTTGCTACTTATTGATTCTGTGCCTTCAAGCTGTGTGTGGTGTGGATTCTCATGGTTTGCTGCTTTTGTTTGTGTAGTATACAGAGGCTGGAGCTGGGGAAGAAAAGGATTGTTTATGGAGGGAGACGTAGGAAAAGGTTTGGTATGCCCGAAGACTATGGATGGGAAGGCGAGTAATGGGAATGGTTTAGAGAAGACTGTACCTTCTTGCTGCCTTAAGGCTATGGCATGTGTTCCAGAGGATGATGCTAAGTGCCACTCCACTGTTGTTTCTGGGTGGTTCTCGGAACCTCACCCTCGCTCTGGTTAGATTTTACTTTCTTTTCTTGTAAAGCTACCCTATTTTCTTGGAACCTATCTCTTATATTTTGGTTTATGTTCTTACTGGATGCAGGGAAAAGAGGCGGCAAAGCAGTCTATTTCAACAACCCTATGTGGCCAGGTAGGGGTTACCTCTTGATAGGCTTGATTTTTGTTGCTTTCCATTTTCTTACTACCTTACGTTTTGTTTTTGTATGATGTCCTGCTGGGTTTAGATGCTGAGTCTGTATGGTTAAGTTTGTGGTTTTTCAAAGTGCTTGCTCATGTGACTTATGCAGCTATGCTGGTTTATGTGTTGATTGTAGGAGAAGCACACTCACTGAAAGTTGAGAAAATTCTGTTCAAAGACAATTCAGATTTTCAGGAGGTCCTAGTGTTCGAGGTTTGAAATAGCATTTATGTTTTTGTTCGATCGTTCTTATCACCTTCTGAATCTTTCTGCTTTTAATTGGGACTGATTTGTGCAGTTTGTTATGTTTCTTCTTTAGGATAACCTCATTTTTGTTCTTGTTTTTGCAGTCAGCCACGTACGGAAAGGTGCTTGTTCTAGATGGTATTGTACAGCTGACTGAGAAAGATGAATGTGCATATCAGGAGATGATAGCCCATCTGCCTTTATGCTCTATATCTTCCCCTAAAAATGTAATTTCTCACCTTGAAAAGTCTAGTCTCTTTGGTTTCCTATATCTTGTGGCCTGTTGCAATTAATCAATCAATCTAAAAGTATGTTCAATTTGTGATGATTGTACCTCTATTTAGAGAACATGTTGGAACACAATTTGATTGCGTTGTTGTAGCTCTCTTGTTCCTATTTGATCTCATGAGATAGCTCTTTTCGCAAATGTTGAATCATCCCAGTACATTGAAATTTAGATTTAGCTCAGATCAAAGTAGGGAATTGTCAAGCTTACACATTTTACTTGCGTTTAAATGCTGGACTTCGCTGTCTAAATTTTTGCAGGTTCTTGTTGTTGGTGGAGGTGATGGTGGTGTTCTTCGAGAGATTTCTCGCCATAGTTCTGTTGAGGTTATTGATATCTGTGAAATAGACAAGATGGTTATAGATGTAAGTTTTTTGTTTTGTGCTTGCCATATGTATGAACAATCTTTAGTTATGCTCTAGCTCAGAAAATGGGATTTCTGTGGTCTTATAGGTGTCTAAGAAGTTCTTCCCCGAGTTAGCGGTTGGATTTGAGGATCCTCGTGTTCAACTTCACATTGGTGATGGTAATTGAGCATTCTTCTACTTATTCTCTATTCACACAACCTATTTGAAAATTTCCTTGTGTTGATATCACTTTCTTCTTGCAGCTGCTGAGTTCCTCCGTAAATCCCCTGAAGGGAAGTATGATGCCATCATTGTTGATTCTTCAGATCCTGTTGGTATGATTCGTCTGCAAAATTCTTTGGATATCTGAGTGATTCTTATTTTGAATTTCTAAATCAAAACTCAGTTCACACTTCAGCTACTAACTCGCATCGATATAATCATAGGTCCTGCTCTAGCGCTTGTTGAGAAGCCCTTCTTCGAAACACTGGCAAGAGCGTTGAAGCCTGGGGGGATTCTTTGTAACATGGCGGAAAGTATGTGGCTCCATACTCATCTTATTGAAGATATGATCTCCATTTGCCGTCAAACATTCAAAAGTGTTCACTATGCGTGGAGCAGCGTCCCCACATATCCAAGGTTAACTCTACTTTTCTTCTGATTACATTGTGTGATCTCACTGGAATTAGAAACATGAATTGGGCAAAATATCTTCATTGCAGCGGCGTGATTGGTTTCGTCTTGTGCTCTACCGAAGGACCAGCTGTTGATTTCAAGAACCCAATCAACCCAATTGAGAAACTAGATGGTGCGATGACCCATAAAAGAGAATTGAAGTTTTATAACTCTGATGTAAGTTTAACAATATTATGACTTCCCCATTGAATATTCAATATATATATTCACTTAGACAAAATCTTGATTCTTGATCTTACTTTTTACCTAAACAGATGCACAGAGCAGCGTTCGCTTTGCCCACATTCTTGCGGAGAGAAGTGGCTTCACTTCTGGCTTCTTGACTTCTGTTGGCTCTACATTATCCATCATGTCGAACTTTTGTAGAACTCGAATAATAAATCATTGGAGGCTTTGTATCCCTAAGCTTACTCCTTTATAAAAAGACTTCTATTTATATATATTGGCTCTATAGCTTCTTGGCTTTGCATGAATCATTAGATAAAATCCTTCATATACATATATGCTAATTAATTAATTAATCATCACTGTTGAAATCTGGTTCTGCTGGTTTCTGAAGTAGCATAGGTGGCATTCGTTCTGGGATCCTCGGTTTCCTTACTGATCCGCTCCTACGTATTGTGCGCAAGATATTTGCAGCAAACCGTGATGCGTACATTGTAGCCCCAAGGCTTGGGGAACTTCCACAAGCTTCGTTAGCCAAAGCGTCCTGCAACCGATTCTCTTCTTCTTTAAGAGACTCTTCGAGTTTCTTCTTAATGTATCTTCTCCAAGCGGCTTGTATGAAGCAAGCAGCCCAAGTCCTCCATTGTTGCGAGTAGAACCTGAAAGTATGTCTTAGCTGTTTGCTGTGAAGACGTCTGAACTGGGATGCCACAAATTTGAGGTCATCAGCTTTAAGTGCGAAAGCTTCAACTTCCATGAGAGCTCGAACAGTTCTTGTTGAGATTGGGAGGTTTGAGGATGTGTGTGGGTCTAAAGCCCAGGTTAAAAGCTCCTCACCGCAGAAATCACCGGCTCCAAGATACTCGGAATTGAAAAACCCGGTTCTTCCACCATTTGTTGTGATTGTTAGAAGCTTCCCGCGCATAATAAAGAGCATCTCGTCTACCGGATCTCCTTCTCTTACTATGTAGCTTTCCTCTGTGTATAACACAGGTTGCAAACGGTCACAGAGCGCATCAAGAAGCTGTTCGTCCATCTTCTCAAACATCGGGACCTAGAACCGATAGAAAACATGTTGTGGTTAAGAGTGACACTGACAATAAATGAAAACAGAGTAAAGAGAGGGAATGGTTTATTTTTTACCCGCATGAGAAGGGCGAGACAGAGATGGCGTTTGATGTCGCGTCTAAGATCTTTGGGAAGATTACTGAGAAGATTCTCTTCGTCAACGCCTCTTGTCTCTTGCCATTTGTACTGCTCGTATCGCCGGATTCTTTTTCTCAAGTTCTCAGGGAGTAAACGGTGAGACATCCATTGTTCTGCGTCTCTTCTCTTTACTCTCATCTCCTCCAACCTTGTGGTCGTCGATTGCAGATACGTCTGCCATTTAAAAACTAGACAATAAGCAAATCAATTTTGCAAATACTATGGCACATATGACGGAATGACACTAACCTGCATGTTCCCAATCAAGAATGAGAACAAAACCAGCCCGGCAATAGAAATGAAGACCGCAAAACAGATCTCCCAAACATATGTACTTGTTTTAAGGTTTTGACCGAGCGAACTGGATCAAGAAAAACGGAACAATGAAGAACTTTCTGCATTATAAACGGCCTAAATTTGCTGCTATATATATCTATAATCTCAATACCTGAGGTTTTGCAGACCCCACCAGAAACAGTAAAAGAACTTCTGAGGGAAATCTTGAGATTCCACAACACCGGACTGAAGTGCGTCAAGGAATATCCCGAAGTCGAAAAGTGTTGTGTTTGGTGTCTGAATCGGACAAGACTCATTGAGGAAAGCATTGCCTCCTGGAATTTCACGGTCACAGTACAACAAACTCGCAATGCAGCTTGAGTTAGGCTTCTCGCAAGCTTGTTTCCAACACACTGTTTCGCGTTCGATTGAAAACAAATACCAGAAAGCACCAAACACCTACACATTTACCGGTTTTGACCAAAAATATTATATATCTAAGCTCTGAACCTAAAACAGTTGGGACGGTTAGAAACAATTGGCACTCACATGACTAGCAAGCATGTAGAGGAAGAGATTAAAAGCAGCTCCAGCCCAAGCTGTCTCAGTGAGTATGCCTGAAGTTCTTGTCACTTCCTTGTAGAGCGGATAGATTCTTATAAACCTCGGTATATATTGGAAGAAAACAATGAACTTCAACATATTCTTCGTGTTCAAAGACAATGAACCTCTCATATGTGGAATGATTACCAAAATCACCATCTGAGAAAACACAATTACTCACATTACTCAAAGAATCAACCTAATGGATTTGGAAATGCAATCAAAACCAATCAATGAATCACCTGTGGAAGCGGAAGAACAGCAAGAATGTCAATTATGAAATGTGAGGACAAGTAACGTTTTGCGATCTCTCGCTTGTCCTCAACAAGAACACCTCTCCCAAAAACACGAGACGAAGGAGCGATAAAGCCAGTACGAAACTGGAAAATGATGTGAATGATGTAAAAAACATCGGTGAAAGAGCGCAAAACGCTTGCGGTAATCTCCATTTTCTTGTCAATACCAAGACATTTCTTGGTATCATCGATGATAGGCACGTAGAAGAACAAAGGGTCAAGCGAAACAGCTATGATACAAGCTAAAACAAAGATCTTGTTCCATCTCTGAAGAAAAGGTCCTTGTGGGTCAAGAATTTTGTGAGTTGAACCAATCCCTTTTGAAACAGCTTCTTTAAAAGAGTAAGACTTGTAAGATCTTTTGAAAAGTTTGATCCTTGCAGAGCTTGATTCAAAGCTTCTGTAAAACTTGTCAGAGATTGAGCTTATTGTTCTCCGGAATATTCCAGTTTGAATCTCATTTCTCCCGGAATATTCCACGTCGGAGGAAGTCTTGTCGGACTTCCAATCTTGAAACCTGATCCAAGAAAGTGAAGAACAATCGAATTAAGCTCCAGGACCTAGACTTTCAATGAGACAAATCTGGAGGAAATTTGGAACACTGACCTTACAAACTTCTCTTGTCGGAAATTCATAGTTTTGAGACTAATAAGATTCAAACAAAGAGAGATTTCACCACTTCATGAAGAACAACAACTTCGTGTTTCTTCTTCGCTGATTTGAGAGAAATTCAAAACCCTGATTCCATAAACTTCAATAAGTAGAAATCAAACCAAACAGGGACAAGTGAGTTTGCTTCCGAGAATCCAGTAGAATCGTAGAGACTTTGGGGAGAACAAGAAGAACCAATAAAAGGTAAACAGAGAGTACACTGTTTAAACCCACCAAAAAGAAAAAAATCAAATCTTTGGTTTGTTTTTCCTCGGAAACAGCGACAAAAGAAAAGAAGAGAAAACTAAAGTGACCCAGAAACAAAAGAAGAGAGGAAGGTGATAAAATGAAGAAATTGGAGAAAGAGAGAGAGTGATGAACAAAGATTTGAAGAAGAAGAAGAAGATATTGAATGATGAAAGCGAAGCCTTTATCAGAATACAGAGAGGACGCAAGGAGTTTCCACGAAAGTCACAAACTTTGCTATTTTTTAATTTTTTTTTTTGCTTTCTCTGTGATTTTCTTAATTTTGTTTCACTGTTTTTGTTCATTTTTTTAAGTCATTCCAAAAAGACACTTATACCTTTGCAAGTCCTTGATACTTTAAAAAGATTTTAGGACCAAATTTAACTTTTGAGTATTAGTACGAAATCATTTTTAAATTGAGTTTTAACTTAACTTTAATTTTAGTAGAAAACTATGTTTTGAATTGAGTTGTCAGTGTTTTAGTAGACGAATATGTTGGAAGATTACAGAATTCACAGGCTCACAGCAATAATATATGTAGTTTTTAAAAATAAAATAATGATATACATATCCTGATCCTCACATCAAAATATGTTGCAATAAATATCTTTGTCAATCATGAATTAAAAAATATTTTTTGGTGAACCTCCCTTTAGCAAATTTTCATTTACTATTTTAATTAAAATTACTTTTTTTTGATAAAGTATATTTAAAATTACTATTTGCCATTTAGCAAAGTTTCCTATAAAAACTTTATAGCATATAATTATAAATATTTTCTAATTAATTCGTTTAGATTTTTATTTTTTTTTGCTACTTTCCATATATATGTTGTTTGGTTATGGTATCAAATCAACTTAAGAATATAACCTTTGAATTTTGTTGACAAAAAAAAAAGAAATGTAATTACGGAGTTAATCAAGGCATTTCCGTTTTTACTGAAATATAGTCGAAGTCATTAATTAGTATGAATGTTAGGCATGCAAAACTTCAAATAATGTATCATTTTCGCCGCAAACACAAATTCTATAACTGACTATTGGTCTCTATATTTGTAGGTTAGATTTTTGTCTTTGTACGTTGAAGTTTCGTGTTGATAAGATATTGTCAAATTCAGTAAATTCAGGCTTATTGTTCGTATATTTCAATGCACAGTTTCATTCCAACTTGTATCTTTTCTAAAATCGTAAAATTCAGGCTTTTTGTTTGTATCTTTTCATAGATTTGAATAAACTTTACAGTCGAACTTAAATTTAGTTTTATGTTAAATCACGAATGATTTAGATTATAGAAGGAGAGGATATATATAATTTGGGGAAAAATATGTCTTTTAAACATTTTGAGTTAGTTAGTATTTTCAAACATATAGTCCTAACATCTTTATTCTTTAACCAAGTGGTCTTGGCCTAGTGGTGTTTGAGGAGGTAATTCCAATAAGGCACCCGGGTTCAATTCCCCTTGGCCACATGGGTATGGATTATGTCTTAGATCCATTTGCATACCCGGTGCGCGAGCCTACCCATGAGTCATGCCCACCCGATGGGGATTAGTCTGGGCTCTGAGGTTTACTCAGTGGCCCGGGATACCCCCGGGTTTAACAAAAAAAAAAAAAAAAAAAAACATCTTTATTCTTTAACTTCTTCATGACATGTTTTCTTTTCTTATATTGGTGAAACATCATCTCTTTTTTTTTCCTCAGCACCAAACAAAAACGTTGTTTTTGATCGAATTTCAAACTTGCAAATGCAAACGAAAAATATAATCACATTTGTTTTTGTAGCTACTAAAACCATGACTATGATTAAATTTTATTTACCCCCAAATTTTCTTTTGTTAAGAATAAGAGGATGATAAATTAAAGATATAGCCCGTGAGTATTTGTCGATCAACCACGAACCAACCCACGTGTCCTCTTCCTCTTTTTCTTCTCCTTTTTACCAAATTTTGTGCTCCACAAATTTAGTCCGTTAAGTTTAAAATTAAATTTGAACGTGTATTATATACTCAGTTGATTCTGATGATAATTAAGTGCGAATATAGACCGTATCGTGTCCCTTCTCGTACGTTGTCTTATGAAGGCGAAGGGAGGTTCCTAGCCGTCGGATTTTGAGACCAGTCTCAAGATCTTATAATTGTTAATCAAACTATACAACTTCGTAATCCATATTTCTGAAAACAAAGTCAACTCTTTCTTTGATTGATTATACTAATAAAATAGTATTAACATCGAATTCAAACTATCAAGAGTCAAGACCTTTGAATATGGACGATATGAGTCAACGTCAACCATCGTCCCATCTGTAAAATTATCACAAGAAAAAGACATTTGTAATCGGAGTATCTTTCTCTTCTTCGGATTTGAATGAAAAATAAATAGAGTGTTTTCTAAAACTAATTAGATGGAATTTTTGTGACCTAAATAACACGAGCCTTTATTTTGTTTCTTCCCAGGTGACAAATTTTGAACCAATAGTTTTAGTGGAACAATGTACTAAAGAGCTTATATATTCTTGCATAAACCAGCAAGCATAATTGAATATGATGCTCACGGTCATGGGTTTCTTAGGGGTGTTAATTTGGACATGAAAACTCTCTTTATGAATACTCAAAAGAAACAATAACGTAACAAGAAAAACTCCCATGGAGAAATATTCTCTTCTCCTTGGTCTAACACGATAGAAACTTTCAAAGTACTCTCTAGCTAGTTTGGATTGATCTCACAAACGAAACCTAGCTAATCCTTACTTATATTAATAAAACGTAAAAGTAAAAACTCTCCGGGATGAGTAATTTAGAAAATGAAAATTGTAAATAATTTCCTTACAAAATAGAAAGAATGTGTATCAATAGTTATTGAAAAAAAAATGTGTATCAATTTTAGCAGTGAGTTTTGTCATTGAGAATAATATTACTTAATTATGATCACAACAAATTCACAATGATTTTATTGTTTCAATCAATAATCGTCTTTGTGTTCATTCTTGGTTTTTTTTTTGTGACCATTAATTAATTGACAAAGTACAATAGAAACAATCTCTCGACAAATTTTGTGTTTCTCTTGTGATCAGCTGATCTCTTGGCGCTACAATACCCATGTACTTATATGCCAAATCTTATGCGAGATATATTGGTAGTATCTTTTGTTGGTTTGTACATCGAAAGCTGTACACATGTGACACAAAGTGGTTAAATATATTTATATGTTTTTTGAGAGATTCTCATTGTCATAGATTACAAGCTCTCAAACTTATCATGTACATCTCAAAATTATCTTGTTATCTTTGATATCAGGATAATTTCCAGTACAACATAAACCACATGATTATATAAATAAATCTACTTCTATGATGATTATATTAGTGCCTTGCTTAACCTTCAATGCCCACATTGACCTGAGCATGGGGCTCATAAACATAGTTTATAGAGCTGTCTGTAGCAATCCACCTGTAATATATGCGTTCAATTAGGATCATTTTATACTTTCGATCTCTACCTAATTTACTATGTACTATTATTCTTCTTCCTAATTCTTCCTAATCTATAAAATTCTACCTAGTTAACCAAATTCAATTAATCTTTAAAATTGCGATTTAAAATTTATAATTCGCGTTCAGTATTTTGCGATTTGAGTAAAAACGAGTTTAAAACCTGGACTCGGCCAAACGTTTCAATGTGACGTTGGCAAATCTGTAAAAGTAATAGCACTGTTTTTTTTCTACGAATGTAAATATCATTAAAATGAAAAATCAGGTTTTACAGATTTGCATAACTTATAAGATTGAAACCTTTACAAAAAGAATAAAAACAAGGGAATCAATAGAATCGGGAAGAACTCTTGGTAGAATTTATAGCAGCCCTAATGGCATAAACTTGTGGAATTGACGCTTCTTTCTTTTTGATCTCGCAGTACCACCTCTCTTTACCATGCACCATTTTATTTATCACCTCATAAAATGGTTATACAATAAACGGTATACATTATAACACATCGATACAACATAACCAATCAAAACCTTAATTATATGATAGTCATAATCATAGAGGATAAGGAATGAATAAGCCAGCTACGATTCTACTATAATCTTTCTTTTTGAACCAGCTACGATTGTCGTAAAACTTTCCGAGTACATAAGAGTATAACTTTTTTTAGGGCCTATTTTCCGGGAAAATCTCGTTTTCCGCCGGCTTTGTTTCCGGGAATTTTCATGTCGTCCGTCGGCTTTAATTTCCCTTTCTTGGGTTTTGTATTTCACTTTGGTTCCATTTCAAGATCAATAATATAATTTTAGATGACAAAAAACAAGAGTATAAATTTTTTAAATTACGTTTATAATACATGAAAGTAGCTAATTTTTTAGCAATTAAAAAAAGTTGATTAGTTGGAATTAAGTGAGGTAATCCAATGGAAAAAAAGAATAATTAAAAAAAAAACCTACTGGAGTATATAAAACAGGAATGCATGAGTAGTGCCACGTTGCCGCTTCTGTTCGGTGTCCTCCTCTCTCTCTCTCTACACTACTCACCACCACTCTCTCTCTCTCCATCTCTCTTGGATTCTCTCAGATTCCATGGAAGCTCCAAAAAGCTGATTCGTTCAGCCATTTTTTCTTCAACTCTCTCTCTCAGATTCGGATCCGTTCGTTAGATTATCAACCACCGCGTCTTTTCCGATCCGTTTCTTAAAATCCGATTCGATTCTTTTCGTCAGAGCTCTCACAACAACAAAAAGTACTAGGATTCCGTTTCCGCCACAGATCCTTGATTTGATTTGGATTTTTTTCCCTCTTCGAGTTTGATTCCAGAAGATACCTTGTTAGTTTCTCTCTACTTTTGATTCGAATCCCGTTTTCGTTATCCGAATCGAAAATTGTTTTTAGGAAGTACAGATTCTGGATCGTGTTCGTTATTGTTCATCATTCTCTGCTTGAATTCTATAATCTTACTCGTTGAATATTCAGGATCTAGTTTGATTGAAGAGTGAGAGGTTGAAATCAGTTTTAAGTATAGATAGGGTTTGTTATCTTAATTGGTTTTTAAGGATCCTTGATCTGTGTTACTAACTACAGATTAATTTTTCTATATGCAGCTCCTGTATATTGGAGAAACTGAATTAAGGTAAGATTTGGCTACTTAGATGGTATGCAGCAGTTTCATAAGGAGTTTCATTGTTCAAGCTGGTGGTCATATTGGGGTGTTGGCTCAAGGAAGACATCAGTTTAATCATATTAAGAAGAGTTTAAGTGTTGGTTTTGGATTTAGAACTAGTGTGATTGGCTTTAGAACCAGTGTGATTGGATTTAGAAGAACCTGTGGAGTTGGATTTAGAACCAGTGCAAAGATGATGGTTGATTCTTCTGCCGGAGAGAAACGTATATCCTTAGTTGATATGCCGCCTGAGAAAGTTGATGATGGCGGATACATCGGTGGTGGTTGGAAAAAGTGAGTTGTTTCTCGTTTATATATAGGGCTGTTGAAATATGATTTGTACTGACGATATCAATTCATGGTCGGCTATACTTCACTTTAAGTGTGAAATGCTAGCAAGATTGTCATATGTTTCACCAAGTTATTTTACTATACGGGTGATTATGTCATTGAAGAAACTAAGTTCAGCTATACGTTGAAGTTTTATATTGTTATGTAGGCAATCTGTAATTGTCTATGGCTATGGATCAATGTGAAAGTTTTGTTTTCTACTTTTTTCTTTTGTTTTAAGTGGTCCTTAATATATGTTACGTGCAATGACAGTGACAATGGAAGCTTGAGCTGTGGGTACTGTAGTTTCAGAGGGAAAAGATCTACGATGGAAGATTTCTATGATGTCAAAGCTTCCACAATTGAAGGCCTAACAGTTTGCATGTTTGGAATATTTGATGGTTAGGTTTCCTTCCTTCTATTTTATTATAGACGAAAAGGAAGTGTGTGTTGATTTGGGGAAGATATTTTATCTGTGGTGAAGTCTGGTTTTCAACTTTCCTTATTATCATTGTATCTATCTCAACTTAGACATGGCTGAGCTAAAAACACATTCCAGCTTCATTTGCAGATTTAAGATTAGAGTCCGTATTTGTACATACACTTATTTAAGAAATTAAAGGTTGCAGTGCACAGTTGAACTATCAATATGCGTTCATATAATACTCAGAAGCAGAATCATATGTTGTTGACTTGATATCTAGGTTTTATTATCTGAAGCTTTAATCATCACAGGTCATGGTGGTTCACGTGCTGCTGAGTACTTGAAGGAACACCTCTTTAACAATCTTATGAAGCATCCACAATTTTTGACAGACACCAAGCTGGCATTAAGTGCGCTCTATATCTCTTGACATAAGATCATGTTATAAGCTAAGAAGTATGAGCTCATTCAGCTTGATATAAGTCATCTGTTCACCTTCTAATTTGATTAATTTGGCAGATGAAACATATAAACAAACTGATGTAGCATTCCTCGAGTCGGAAAAGGATACTTACAGAGATGATGGCTCCACAGCATCTGCTGCTGTGTTGGTGGGGAACCATTTGTATGTTGCAAATGTTGGAGACTCGAGGACAATAGTTTCTAAAGCTGGGAAAGGTCAGTATTTCGTTGTGATCTAACACAATGTGGCATGTCATTTAATGATAAATCGAGAGCTACACCAAAAATGAGTTTAGGAAATGACATTATGCTATCCTTAGAGAACATTCGACATTTAGTTTAAAGTGAATGGATTCTTATGATTAGTCACAAACTTTTGTTGTATTCTTTCCATGAGGACCCTTTTCAAACTTACTGTTTTATGTTCTGCAGCGATCGCGCTATCTGATGACCATAAGCCAAATAGAAGCGATGAAAGAAAGCGAATTGAAAGCGCTGGTGGTGTTATAATGTGGGCAGGTAATCTGATTTATAAGAAATTGGCCCTCGTTTGTGTCCTCCTAATTGGTTGCTTGCTTCTAAAGATGACATAGCGAGATCGCAGAGATCTCCCTCCTGATTTAGATCACTAGCTTCATTAATTGATTTACTCAAAATGCTTGATATTTCCTTCGGGAATTTTAATATTACAATGTTGTTGTTGGTTTTTTTGTTTCTGCTTTTTTAGTCTAATTCTATTTTTAAGTTTCTAGGGAACACTGACACACAAACCATCTTATCTATGCACTCTATTTGTCGGGTTATTCACTAGATTTCCTGAGGCATGCCCATAGAGCATCCTTCTCTGAATTTTTCTGTCAGCCCTAGACTTAATAATAATATCATCTTGATTTTCACTTGTCAGGAACATGGAGAGTAGGTGGGGTGTTGGCAATGTCCCGGGCCTTTGGTAATAGAATGTTGAAGCAATTCGTTGTTGCTGAACCCGAGATACAAGTAACCGCTTCTAACTGCAGCTTACTGTTTTTTGCCCGAGGGTTTTATGTTGTTCCCACCATCCATAATATAACCTATGTGAAATCTTTGAGTTTTAAGGTTTTGTGAACACACTCCTGTGCTTATTTTTTCAGGATCTAGAGATAGATCATGAGGCTGAGTTGCTTGTACTTGCAAGTGATGGTTTATGGGATGTGGTACCAAATGAGGTATGACAAATAAATTCACCCCCTTGTATCTGTTTCTGAATTGTTGAGGATATAAATGTTTGATTTCCTTCATCGGATTCAGGATGCGGTAACCCTTGCTCAGAGCGAGGAGGAGCCTGAGGCAGCTGCCCGCAAGTTAATTGACACTGCCTTCGCCCGTGGCAGTGCAGACAACATCACATGCATTGTTGTTAAATTCCATCATGATAAGACCGAGTCTCCTAAAATCGAACCAAATGCCATGGCTGAAGCGGAACCTGAACTGAACCCCACAGCTGAAGTGGAACCCGAATCAAACCTCAATACTGAAATGGAAACTGAATCAAGCCCCAAAGCAGAAGTGGAATCCAATCCTGATGCTATACCCGATCCAAAACCGGAAACCGAACCAGAGACCAAGGGTGAGAAAGCAGGTGAGTAAGGTAGCAGCCAGGGAAAGGTGTCCATATTGTTGGAGCCATGTGGAAACAGATGAATATAAATTTGCTTAGTAGTTGTGTGGTTTGTGGCTACCTGTAACGTGTGAGGATTTGTGTTTTTGGTTTTGTGTTGCATTCATGCACATGCCTATGCCTGCCTTGAGGACGACGACGACATGTCCTCGATTTTTGTCTATTCATTTTGCTCTATTTTGTATGTTGGTGCTACTCACACCAAAAACTACACATTTGTTCTCTGTTTCTCCCACTTCTTTCTATCTTTTATTTAAAACACCTTCCATTCCAATAAACAATGTTTTTGTAATTCCTCGTTCGTCTCTACCTTGTTAGTAGTAGATCGTAAGTATTACGAATGTCGTCACCATAAGAAGTTTGTGGGTAATTGAAAAACAAACTCCTTCGCGCATAACCCAAGTGAAATTGCCTTCTTCTAATATATCTTTGCATATCCTTTATCTAAATTAAAAGATATGAAATGGTCGACAACAAATTTTAGTTGTGTACTCAAGAAAATTTATCAAATGGCTGAAGTGATAAGTTATTTGAGAAAATCTTTTTCATGCTTAACAAATTTGTAGCCTAGTAGTCTAGTACTTATTACTGAGTACTGAACTATTAATGAGTCAACATTTTATTCCGGATTTATTTTGGAAATATGCATGTGTGAGCTGTAAACGATAAAAAGAGAAAGAAAATATTTTTCATACCTTACAATTTAAAATTCTTAATCTAGGTCAAAACTTAACCATGATTAAGTAACCACAATTAAATAGTAATGATAAAGTAACCACGGTTAAACGATCATGGTTAAGTAACCACAGTTAAACGATCATGGTTAAATAACCACGGTTAAGTAACCGTGGTCAAGTAACCACAGTTAAGTAATCATGGGTAAAAATGGTATAATAAAATTAGATTTCACTTTTGAATTCGAAAATGGTAACTAATACTCATATTCGTTGTTTCTATTTAATTTATAACCTACTAATAAGTATCTAGTCCAAATCTAATAAATTCAAAAATATGCATGTGTAAGTTGTTGACTACAGATTAAGAAGAAAATAATATATTTTCGTGTTTTTACCACTCTTAACCTCGGTCAAAACTTAACCATGGTTAACTTAACCATGATTAGTAAATTTTGGATAGTGAGTTAATTTTTTACTTTGAACAACTTAATAAATTTCACAGCCCATACATTGTTTTTCTCACATTATATATTTTGAGGTGTTCTTAAGAGAGAAAAAAAAAAAGATAAAATAAAATCAAAGAGTAGGGTTTGTGAGGGTGTATCTGAAAATTAAGTCTTTTGTAGTAAAAGTTTGTTTGATTCAAAAAATATTCTTATCCTCGGAGTTGCGATCCAACGATTGGTATGTTTTCTACTATTTTCATGGTTTCTTCTTCTTCTCTGTTTACTTTGTTGTACCCTTTCGCTTTCTCGCTTTATCGCTTTATATTAGGGAAAATTGGTTTTAGGGCTTTGAAATTGCAGTGATCGATTAGGGTTTTTTGGGTTTGTATCACACTCTGTGATGGCGAAATTTGGGTTTGATTTTAGGGTAGTCGAATTTGTACCGTTTGTGTGTAGATCCGTTTGAAATGTTTTTGAACTGGTTCATATTTTCGCGGGTCTCGTTCTGGTTTGATTAATTGCATTGAATGATATGTGGATTAGGGTTTTTTTGGGTTCGTAGTGATTAGGAGATGCAAATGGTGTTGGGAATTTTGTGGGTTTTGATTGTGGGTTTGGTGAATTGTTGTTTAGGTTAGGTTTATCTCTTGTTAGATAGAGTTTGAAGATCTGTGATCATAGTTGAGTTTTTGTTGCTTTGATTGGTTTTTGTTCTTCATCAGTGTTCAATTGTTGTTAGATTTTGATGGGCTTCATTTAAATCTGGATTGCATTAGATTGATAGATTCTCAAGATCTTTCTTTTATGAGCCTTATGTTATGTATCTCTATTATATTCAGCGGATTGCCGTGGAAATTTTTATTGAGCGGATTCGCGCGCAAATTTGTATTCAACGGGTTCGCGGGCAAATTTGTTTGTGTTTTATGTGGATTAGATATGGTAATTTCATAATATGTGGCCAAAGATTGGTTCTCTTTATGTGTGTTTTAAATGTAATGTCGGTGGGAGGGTCGAACCGGGTTTGTTTAGTAAAATCCGGGGTTCTTCTATCGGTTGAGACCAGTGCCACCGGATAAGATTGAATTTCTTGAGCTAATGATTTGCATTTATGGTTTTACCCAGTTGGATTAGATCTGCATCTATATAAAATTTTGGGACCTTGTAGCTAGTTAAACCTTCATGTGGAAACAAATCTACATTTTCTAGGAATATATGTGTACTCCTTTAAAATCATCAGATTCTACTGAATCTGTTCACTTTAATATTAGAATCACCTAAACATGATATGCTTCTGTAAACATTCCACTGAATCTAATCTTTCTTTTTTGCTTCTTTGGTTTTCCATTGAGACAGGTTGGGAACGTTCCGAGGAGTCTGTTGAAGATCCTCTATTCTAAAAAGTTTCCAGAGGACAATAGTTTTTGACGGAGTAACTCTCGAGGACATGGAATGCAACAAGGATGAAGCGAAAAGGGCAATGGATATTGCTGAGAGGAAGATGACAGAGAAGGACTACAATGGGGCGAAAAAGTTCGCTAACAAGGCTCAAAACTTGTATCCCGAGTTGGATGGTCTAAATCAATTGTTTACGGCAATCAATGTTTTTATCTCGGGAGAGAAAAAAATCTGCGGAGAAGCTGATTGGTATGGTGTCCTTGGTGTAGACCCCTTTGTTAGTGATGAAGCACTGAAAAAACAATACCGGAAATTGGTTCTCATGCTCCATCCAGATAAAAACAAGTGTAAAGGCGCTGAAGGTGCGTTTAAGCTGGTTGCAGAAGCTTGGAATCTACTATCTGACAAGGATAAGAGAATCTTATATAACTTAAAGAGGGGCAAAGATGTCAAAGAAGCTCAACAAAGATTCCCACCAACACATAGCGGGATTCCACCACACCAGCCAACTTCTAACGGGATTCCAAATGTAAGAGAGCATGTAGTTTTGAGTGCTAGGGCTAGATCTAAGCCCGCTGCCCGTAAGCCTGCTGCCCGTACGGATAGATCTCGCACGGGTTCGCCTGCTTTTGTTTCTCCGATGCATGAGGAGAGTAGTACCTTTTGGACCAAGTGCAACAAATGCGACACACAATATGAGTACCAGAGGGTTTATCTTAACCAAACCTTGCTTTGTCCACACTGCCGTGAAGGTTTCGTTGCAGAAGAGAAAACTCCGCCTAAAAATATTCCGAAGCCGCCAGTCAACATCTCATCTAGCCAACAGCACCGGAGTTCCAAAAATCAAGCGCCAAACAAGAACTCAAATGGTTCTTTTTCTAGGAGAGAACCTGCACCATCTGTTAACCTGAATTTTCAGTGGGATTCTTCATCAAGAATGGGTGGTTCTAACAGCCGAAATGCCACAAATGAAGCGGCGAATGTAGTTCAGCAAGCACAAGATAAACTGAAAAGAGGGTTTGTGGAGACGCAAGAAAGGGATGCGGCTAGAGGATTTACATTGAAGAGGCAGAAGACTGATGATTCCCATATGCGTGGTCCATCTGCAGGCAAGTCGTCGAATCAAATAGGTGCAAGCTGGTCCAGTACTTCTAATGCTGCCAATGAAAATACTGAATCGCCCAACACCATAGGCTCTCGTCATCCTTATGTACAAGCATTGTTACGTTCTGATATAAAAAAAGCTCTTATAGACAGAGGCCAGTCAGAGATTTTTAAGAGACTTCCGAAGATGATCGCTGAAACGGAAGGGAAGGTGAACGCAACTGAAGGGGAGAAGAACAGTATGAAGGCAACGAGCAAGATGAGTAGCAAGGCGAATGAGGTTGAAAGGAGCAAGATAAGTAGCACCGCGAATGAGGTTGAAAGGCCAGTTGAGGTTGAAAGGCCAGTTGAGGTTGAAAGGTCAGTTGAGGTTGACAGGTCAGTTGAGGTAACTCCTCGTGATTCAGATGAAGAGATGGATGATGTAGTGAAGGAAATCGTTGTTCCAGATTCAGACTTTCACAACTTTGATCTTGACCGATCTGAAAGTTCTTTTAAAGATGACCAGATTTGGGCTGCTTATGACGATGACGATGGAATGCCTCGGTTTTACGCCCGCATCCAAAAGGTGATTTCTGTGAATCCCTTTAAGATGAAAATCAGCTGGCTCAATTCCAAAAGCACCAGTGAATTTGGTCCTATAGACTGGATGGGTGCTGGTTTTGCTAAAACATGTGGGGATTTTAGGTGTGGGAGATATGAATCTACAGATACACTAAATGCCTTTTCTCACAGTGTCGATTTTACCAAAGGTGCAAGAGGACTCCTCCATATTCTTCCCAAAAAGGGACAAGTTTGGGCATTGTATCGAAATTGGTCCCCTGAGTGGGACAAGAATACCCCTGACGAAGTTAAACACAAGTACGAGATGGTGGAAGTTCTTGATGACTATACAGAAGACAATCAGAGTTTAACCGTGGCTCTCTTAGTCAAAGCTGAAGGATTCAGGGTAGTTTTCCGCAGAAGCACAGACAGACTTGGTGTGAGGAAGATTGCAAAGGAAGAAATGCTTAGATTCTCCCACCAGGTACCTCATTACATTCTTACAGGGAAAGAAGCTGATAACGCACCAGAAGGTTATCTGGAACTAGACCCGGCGGCAACTCCTTGTGCATTCTCTTCAGAGAACGCAGAGGCGAATGAGAAAAGCGAAGCTGTAGAAGAGAAGAGCCCTGTCCCAGAGGAAGAAGTGGGTATGGATCAAGATTAGTGGGTATGAAGCTAGTAGCAGTCAGTACAGTTGTACAATGGAGGAAGAAACATATCATATGGAATCATTAGGGTACAGGACTAATCAAGGTCAGGTCTGATCTTTTGCTTTTATCTTTCTTTTGTTTAAGGCTGACCCAGAAACTAGCCATGTTTTTGGCACAAGAAACTATCTATACCGGAAAAATTAGCCTGAGTATTTCGAATATTTTTTGGGGGTCAATGTACAATCTTTTTTTTGGTATTTTGGTATTTACTCAATAGACCTGAAAGAACCTTGTAAGAACTCAGATTGAGATTCGAATATATATGGTGGTTATGGGTTATTATATCTTTTAAGCATTCATTTGAAGCTCATTGACATGTTTAGTGATATGATTATGTGTGGTGGTTGTGAATTGTGATTGACCAAGTCGGTCCATTTTGAGACCAGCCCATTTAAGCATGCACAATTTGGTCCTTGTTTTAGAATTTGAGTTTAGGCCAACTTTGATATTTCAAAATAAAGTTGCAACTGATATCTCTTAGGCTGGTTAAGTTTGTTTCTTGTCAATGTCTCTTATCTGATTTAGGCATAGTTTTTGTTTGCATTAAGTTTATCTTTATATTTAAAACCAAAATAATCACATTTTTAAACATTTTCTGTAAGTTGTTTTTTCTTGTTAATTCTAAACGTAAAGAAAAAGTACTCGTTCCATTTGTGTGTAGCGATTTTTTATTTCTAGGATATAGTTTATAAAAAACTAATAAAGTTTGATACATCAAAATTTTGATTTTGATTTTTGTTTTCGAGTAAATAAACAAACGAAAACTTAAAACTTGCATTTGAAATAATTGTGTACTTTACAAAATATTTCATGACAAAAACTACAGCGTTCTGTTTTCGTCAAAGTGAATTTTTTTTTAAACAAAGCGAATTTTTAGAAATTGTAGTGAGAAGTTTTTGACTCATGTTAGAGATTGATGAGTCTCACATCATCTTCTTCTCATGTATCTGAATAAAGAACATTAGAGAAGTGTGAGATTTTGATTCATAAGCCATTAATGGTGTTCACGTTTATATAGCTGAATTGTCAAAAAAAAAAGATAGATGCAACACATGATCCTCACTTTCTCTCTTTATTATCAGTTTAATTTTTTTTTTTTTTCTATTCTCATCTCTTCCACACCTTTTGTTTTTAGGTCCACTTCTTTTTTTTTTTTTTTAAGTATATTTATTTGGATAATACTATATATATAATCGTCGTTGTCAGACTATTTATACTAATATCGACACATGAAGTGAATCTAAACATTCCCACTCTACAAAGGTGATTGTCCTTTTACATCGAATCAATGGACTTACTATTTATGTGATACTCACTTCTTTGTTCTCAATGTCAAGATATTAAGGCTTGTGAGTGATAGATGTCAAACTAGTGTTTTGGTTGTTTTGTTTGTGCTAATGAATCAAGTATGGTCTATGTTAATTGAAAGGATAATATCTAATTATATTTGAAATTGTAGAACAACAAACACTATTTTTCTTTTGTCGAATTGTTTGGTACATGTATATTCATTTTTTTGGGAACTATGTTGTTAATCATCTCATTTAATAAAGAAAGATGTAGAAAAGGAGTTGCAAAATTTCAATTTTGTATCAAAATGTTGGTTCAACCATTGGAGACTTCAAAAATATTAGAAGAAGGAAAATAAAACGTGAATGTATGATACGCAATCGCTAGAAAACGTTACTTTGAAGCGTTTTATCCAAAACTGTGGACCCCAACTTTTTCTGTTATTTTCTGAAAGGAAAATCTGTTAATCGTTATTTTTATTTTTAACTTTTATTGTCAACGACAATCAATTTATTTTATTTTATATATCAGATTTATTCATAATTAACAAAAAACAACTCATAACTATTATAAAAAAAAATTAAAAATATACTTTTACCTTCTTTTTCTTTTGGTATTTTTTTAAAAAATGAAATGATAAAAAGTGAAAATGAATTTACTTTATTTTTATTTTATTTTTGAGAAAAAAATTTGGTTAATTGATATCTTTTTTTAAATCCGACCTCATTGGTTAAATTGCTGCATATCAGCTTCCATATGAAGTTGAAACCAAAAATGAAATAAATCTTATAGACTTGAAAATTCTGATTAAACTTGAAAATGTATGAAAAAATATATCTTATAAACTTGTTGAAATTATAGGAAATATAGAAAATTGTATATATGAAAGGTTTTACAAGTTTCTAAAAACTTTCTAAAGTTGTTTATTTTTTTTAATATAACGTTTCAGACATTTTTTCAAGTTAATAGGAAATATTTTTGGTGATAAATAGTTGTTTCCACAATTCCGATTGTATAACAAAAAAGGTTACGAAATTTTGGATAGTATCATAACTATTCATTCACTTTCACAAGTCTTTGGAAACTTATACAAATTCTTAGAAAGTTTCACGTGTTTAACTAGTAGAAACACTGTTAATTTCCCTCATTTGAATCAATATCGATGATATTTGTTTGTATTAAGCATCGTCTGACATCAACTTCTCATTTTGGATCAACCATTTTTTTTTAAGTTGATCCCATTGATAAATTGATCTTAATTACACGTTTAATTTACATCAACCTATTTCAAAGAATTTCTGAGTTTAGATTTTTGAGACTAGTATTTTCTTATTAGATAAAGGATTTTTCACCGTTATACAGTATATCTTCTACCGAAGAATATGGGTCGTCTTGCTTTCATCACCAATAATATTGTCAGAAAAAATGGAAAAAAAGAAGAAGCAAGTTCAATATGAAAATTGGAAAACGTTTAGTCATTTAGTGGTTTATCAAGAAACGTTATAGCTGTAAATTAACAACATTAAAAATGCTACTTGTCCAATTACTTCAAAATTTTATAGTCTGCCTATTACTTTGAGTAGAGAACTAGTTCGAAAGATATGTACGAATTGAACTATTAATTATAAGGAGCCAATCTTTTTCTTAAGGAGCCAGTCTTAAAAAACAACTATGTGGGTATCTAATTTGTGAACATTAATCTTGAGGTAGTAGTATTTTCTAGAATACTTTAGCACGTTACAAAAGTTAGCAACGAATTTTCTTTCTCTAGATATGACTTATAAGAGCCAAACCTTTTTATGTTATAGAAATCTATGTCACTTTGAGATATTTTTTTATTCAGGGTTTAATAAAGAGTGTTAGATAAAGCACGTGGGACCATTTGCTCTCTCGAGATTGGCTCTTCGGAGTCAGGAAAAGTTAAGGCCGTGAAGCAAACCCTAAAGCTACTGTATACAATTCTTGTAAGCCCCATGTTTTTTTCTTTTAATATCTCCAATAGTTTCTCTCTGAACCCATTGTTTATTTTTTGGTAATTCTCACCTTCTTCATTAAAAAGTTTATCTAGAACAAACATATATCCATTCGTTACATGGACAACCCTCGCTACGACAATACGCAAGAGTACATGTTCGACACAAGCTCTAATATGTCGACCTCCACCTGCTTCTCTTAAAATATATTTTAGACTTTTCTACTATTTCTCGACTAATCTCTTTGCAAACATTAAAAAAAAAAATTGTTAGATTAATAAAAGTTACACTAAAAGCAATATTACTTTATATAGCAATTAATTATCTAGTATTCTTTGCTCCTGTTTTTAATAACTTTAAAGTTTGAATGCCCATATTTTATTTTATTTGGTTAAGAATTAACCATGTTTTTATAGTACCTACAAAGGTTCGATATTTTTAGTGTTATATTTGTGTATTAGATATACACACACCAAATTGGTCGGCTTGACACCATTATTACAATCTCTCTTAAACTTTTTGTAGTATTCACATAAATTTAAATTAGTAATATGTTTTCGACAATTTGAATTGTTCTATGAGTCTAATCACAGTCAAGTACACGAACTATATGTTATGCTAATCTGATCGTATTCATTCTACTATATACACACTAACACACACACACACACAAACATTTACAGTACACTATAATCTCCCAATAACCATAATACCTAAAATATAAGTACACATTAACAAAACAAACACTAAATATAAGGCCATGGTGAATGTTTGCAAGTTTTTAAGTAGTTTTTGGACTTTGGTTTATGGTTTTTAGATTTTGTATTAGAAATATTTTTAAAAATTAAATATGAAAAAGTCATCACGTTAAAAAGTGAAAAACCAATGAAACATATATTTTAAATTTTCTTTGAAAATTGACAAAAACTATCAAATCTAGATTCCCTAATTTTTAGGAAAACTATTTTTCATAATTTTAGTTGGCTATAAAGTAGATTTTTAGAAAAACTAAAACCAAAAACAACTTCAAAATCTACAACCATTCAAGACCTTAATTAATTGGCTATAAAGTAGAAAAAGTAAAAAAAAAAAAAAAAAAAAAAAACTAGAAAAACTAAAACAAAAACAACTTCAAAATCTATAACCATTCAAAGATATAAATATAACAAAAGATTTTTCTTTTTTATAAAAAATAGTAATAACAAAACAGCACTTATAGCAGCGCAAATAGTCTCTGCACTTCCAAATAAAAATGATGTACTGTGTAATATAGTAACTTCATTATATTTTCAACAGTTTTTAATCCTTTTTTTTTTTGTCAAAACAACAATCTTTTATCCAAATGAAAAAAACACAAAAATTAAAAACCATCCAATAATTGACTCAGCTCTCATAGGCTAAAACATACTTTAAGGATCAACAAATAATAATTACCAGACTTGAGGGGGTATAATGGTCAATAAAACAGAGAAAAACGACAACGAGTGGCAAAATCGAAAATAATGAGAAATTAATGGGATAATATAAAAAAGCATCCAATGAGAGTAGTGAAATCAGAGAAAGACCTTTACTCCTTTAGTCCACCATCCAATCAAATCTTTTTTTAATCTCTCTTTTTTATTTTATTTTACTATTTTTAAATCTGTGAGCGTCTTTTAATTTAAAAGAGAGAGAGAAAAAAAAAGTTTGTTGGAGGATTCTTCTCTCTCTCTTTCTCTCTTCTTCTTATCTCCCTCCAAAGACGGCGACTGTAATCTTTCATTTCTTCACATTAACGCTTTCATCGGAAGATCTCGCCGGAAAAACCTTCTCTCAAACCAGATCTCTTACGATTCCAAGCTCAATCTCACCTTTTTCTTTGTTGTGCTGCTTTTCACTTTCTTCGAGACGAATTTAGCGTTGTTGTTGAGATTTGAAACCGTGGCTTAAGCCGGAGGAAGAAGAAGAAGATGGAAGCTAACGGGATTGAGAATTTGCCGAATCAGAATCCGAATCTGGAAAGAGAGTTTATTAGGAGACATCATAATCATGAGCTTGTTGAGAATCAGTGTAGCTCTACGCTTGTTAAACATATCAAAGCTCCTGTTCATATTGTAAGCTTCTTCTTTCTTCATGCGCTCTGTTTTTCTCTGTTTAGGTCTGTGATGCTTTCTATATTTAGTTAATCGGTTCTTGTTATTGTTGATTCAATCCAGAAATTTGAAATCTCTTATCGATTGTTGATCTTATTGAGGAAGACGATTTGTTGAAGATGAATCAAATCGATTGGTTTCTAATTATAGAAGCTTCGTAGCTTTTGTATTGATCTGGTTTTGATTTCTTGAGAAAAAAGTCCCAAAAAAAACGCTAATGGATTTAGTTTGAATTTACTGGTGAATAGGTGTGGTCACTTGTGAGAAGATTTGATCAGCCACAGAAGTATAAACCATTTATTAGTAGGTGTGTGGTGAAAGGAAACATGGAGATTGGTACAGTAAGAGAAGTTGATGTCAAATCAGGTTTACCAGCTACTAGAAGCACTGAGAGATTGGAGTTACTTGATGACAATGAGCATATTCTCAGTATCAGAATCGTTGGTGGTGATCACAGACTTAAGGTAATTGTCTCAAAGGGTCGTTTTCTGTTTCATTGAATCAAAGACTTATATTGTTTCTCTCTTTTTTGGATTTAGAACTATTCTTCAATCATTTCTCTTCACCCTGAGACTATAGAAGGAAGAATAGGGACACTTGTGATTGAGTCATTTGTGGTTGATGTACCAGAAGGAAACACAAAGGATGAGACTTGTTACTTTGTTGAAGCTTTAATCAAATGCAATCTTAAATCTTTAGCTGATATCTCTGAACGTCTTGCGGTTCAAGACACGACAACAGAATCGAGAGTCTAAAGATCCAAAGAGTAAGAAACTATTGCATCAGAGAGATTTGGTTGCCATGGATGAAGCTCTCAAAGGGAAAAGAGAGAGAGAGTGAGTGAGTCTCTTTGAGGATGGACAAGGCAAAAAAATGTCATCATTTTACAAGTTACATAGTTTCTCATTTGCTATTTTTGGGGGTCATTTCACTTTCAACCCTCTTTTTTTTTATGTGTCTAATTTAATGAATGTGTTTTTGGTTTCTTCTCTATAGAACCAAAATATGATTTTGGAGTTTGGCTTTAGCCACTTGCAGGAATCTTTTACAATTTGCAGAGACATGTTAAAAGTGTGTGTGTGATCATGGGGTTCCACTCTCTTCTTCCTTTTTAACACTTTTCGTTGCACCCATAAAGGCCACACACCGTCTTTCTTTTTTTATTTTTCTACTTTTTTTAAACGAACCAATTGGATTTGTGGGATGTGAAAAAATCTCCACAAAGGACCATTAAGGAAAGAGATCTTTGTTGTTGTTTATAGATTTTGTCTTGACTTGTGATTCAGGAAACACACTTTAGCTCCATTAGCTGTAAAAAGGTGTACCTTTCTTTAGTAGTTTTACCATGCCCAAAGTGTTTTCTGTTTCTTTTTTCCTAAATTACAATAGTGGATAAATATTCGAATCGGTCACATGGACAGGTGGTTCCATTAGAAATGCTTCTATATGATTTCTTTCAATTTGTTCCAAAAAAAAACATGTAATTTCATCAGAGGACTTTGTAAGCTGCAATAAGAATAATTGGCCTTCAAAAATCACATCAGAGAATAAAGACCACAATTACATTCTTTTCAATGTTGTTTTACATTTTTCTTCATAGAATTGAACAGAATGTCAAAAAGGGAAAAAGGTTCCAGGTCGATGTGAAAACTAATGAGCTAATGAAATAAAAACTACAATAATTTGTAACATGAGATCAATAATTTCACATGTTTTTCTTTTGGTTGTTGTTGTTGTAGAAGCTATGGGAGATTTACTCTGTACAAAGCTTTGAACCTCCCTTTTTCACCCAAACAGGTGTGTTTATGGTAATGAATGATGTGACTAGGCCAATACCAAGTCTCCTTCTTGTTGTTGCTCTTCAAACTTCTCACCTTCTTGCTTTGGAAGGAGAATACGCTTTATGTCCTCTGCGGTTAGAGTTTCATACTCTAGAAGTGCGTTTGCTAAAGTGTGTAGCTGCTTCTCATGCTGGGGAAACACACGCACAAGAAAAATTGAAGTGAGATTAAACAGTTTTGATCGAGACGAGTAAAAAATGCGACTATCAGGAACTTGGCACAAACAAACCCGTTTCAAGAGAGATTTCACTCGCTCATATGCCTCTCGAAGAAGCTTCACAACCTGGACAAAAGTATCAACACCACCAGATGAATGATTAGACTTAGGAGCAATGGGATTTGAATGAGGAACTACAAAACTTGAATAGAGAGAGTCTTTACCTCTGCATCAATGCGTGATTGCATATCAGAGCTTGGTCTTTCTTTTATATGAACTGGTCCTATTGCCTCACTCATCCCACAACTCGATACCTTCCAATAAAACAGAAGCATTACTACAACTACCACAAGAAGTAAAGTCCATCTTCTCGCGTTAACTTGTAAGTTCACTTTAAGGATCTCAGAGACTTAAGTCCATGAAACCTTATTCCAGAAAACTAAAAAAACTGAATGCTAACTCTTTTGATAAACCAAGAAAAAAAAAGCAATTAAGAACATATATCTCCAAATCTTCTAGTGATATGGGGGTTATAACACGAGGTTACCATGTATTGAGCAAGTTCAGTGGCCTGTGACAGATCACTACTTGCTCCAGTGGTGATATGGTCCAAGCCAAAGATGAGCTCCTCTGCAACTCTTCCTCCCATACATACATCAAGACGAGCTAATAACTGCCTCTTGCTCACTGATGTTTCATCGTTTGAAGGTAACTGTGTAACCATTCCCAATGCAGATCCACGTGGCATTATAGTCGCTTTGTGGATCGGGTGCGCACCTCTCGTGTTCAAAGCGACAATAGCATGACCACTCTCATGGTATGCAGTAAGCTAAAGAGGCAAAGAAGCAAGTGAGAGGTCATATCATGTTTGGACTCCACATCCAAACGCTTCTATGATGTATTAGATATTGGATTATACCTTTTTTGAGTCCTCTGATACGAACATCGTCTTCCTCTCTGTGCCCATGACTATTCGGTCCTTTGCGAATTCCAACTGTTCAGAAGATAACTTCTCAGCCCCTTCAACAGCTGCTTTTATGGCAGCAATATTTACCAGGTTTGCAAGATCTGGAGAAAGTTTTGGTGAGATTGAGAAACATGTGGTGAATCATTGAATCTTCATATGTTAGTGACAAAAGAAGACACTTCTGAATTAAGGATGACTAAACTGTAGTTATAGATTTAAGACACTCACCAGCACCATTGAATCCAGGAGTTCCACGAGCAATTGCTTTAACATCCACATCTTCTGACATAGGTTTGCCTTGGAGGTAGAGTTCCAAAATCTCTTGGCGTCCACGGACATCCGGACTGGGAACGACAATCTAAAATCAAATCTGTCAGTAACTTATATTCCTTCTGAAAAATCTGAAAAAAATTGTAGCACACCTATAATTCTGTTTTAACTTTAAAAAGGATACAGATGAAAACAAATTGAAGTATTGAACACCAGATGCGCAAAGTCAAAAACAAATCCTCAAAACGGGGGGTTTCTCAAGACAAGAAAAAGGTATCAGTTCTTCATATTCCAGTAACTCTTCAGCAGTACTAATACATCGCAGAAGAATCACAAGAAACTGAAAACTTACATGTCTATCAAATCTACCCGGTCTTGTCAGGGCTGGATCAAGTATATCAGGCAAGTTTGTTGCAGCCATAACTATAATTCCCTGCATAACCAAAATGGAAAAGAAGCAAAGTACTATTATATTCCTGCAAACTAGCAGAAGTAATCACAAGATACACTATCCCTCATCAATACGTACCTCATTCTGCTCAAAACCATCCATTTCAACAAGTAGTTGATGAAGTGTCTTCTTTGTATGCCCTTCCCATTGTTTTCTTGTGGATCCAACAGCATCAATTTCGTCAATGAAAATGATACAAGGTGCCTGTACACAAGATCGTCAGCAAATGGAACTTCAATCATGGTAGCCGAACCAACAAAACTCTTTTGAAATAGCTTATAAGCAGTGACACATTGAGTTAGACCTTTTTCTTCGCTGCCTGAAACAAGGATCTCACACGGCGAGCACCTACTCCAACAAACCTGTCAATCGAAGGAAAAAAACATGATATAAGAAGACATTATCCATTGTTGAAGAAGCCACCTGATTATAATAAATACTAAATAATTAATGATAATGTTGCGTAAGGCATATGCCAGAGAAAGACAGCTAGAAGAAGGCTCACATCTCTTCAAATTCAGATCCAGCTCTATAGAAGAAGGGTACTCCAGCTTCTCCAGCAATTGCCTTCAAAATTTAAAATATGTCAACTTTTGCAAAATCAATCAGAATATTGGTAGCCTAGTAAGAATTTATGATTAATTGGGATGTGACTGTGAAAAACACACAAATAATAACCAATTCAACCAAGAGGCGACAATATAACACTATGTGAACTTACTTTGGCCAGCAATGTCTTTCCAGTACCAGGTGCCCCGGTTAGAAGAATTCCCTGGAAGCAAACATTTCAGAAATGTTTCATGTCAAAATGCTAACTTTAAACAGATTGAGTAGACAGGAGAAAATCAAATTCAAAGTAACATGCAATTGAGAAGATATAATAACCATATACAAAGAGAGACTATACCTTTGGCAACTTTCCTCCAAGGCGAGTAAACTTTGATGGATTTTTAAGATATTCAACTACCTCCTCAAGCTCTTGTTTTGCATCATCACAACCCTTAACGTCCTTGAATGTTTTGACATTCTATGACAAGTAAACTTTGTTAGGAAAACACACAATGGAGCCACTCTTATAAATTCATTAGCTTCAAAAGCTACACGAACATAACTATTAAATTGTTCACTGGGTAAATTAGCATTAACACAGCGACGATCCAATATCTCAGGTAATAAGGATACTATCATGCAACTAATTTGCAATTTCCTTCTCTTACTATAGTTTGACTATTGTAACTAAAGCAATAAATATCCTTGCAGTTCTACTTCTACTGTAGACTCCTTATAAACAGTGACGAACATCATTTCTTCACCTAGATTCAAAAGTCTACCTTTTCTGGCGTTATTTCTTTGTTCAGTTCTTTTGGGGAATATGAAGAGCTTGAACCAACACCCGAAGTTCCAATTCCTCCAAGACTTCCAATATACTTTTGCAGAGCAGCTGCACCCATTAACCTAAACAAGGAACTTCCATTTTAACAGGAACAACGGTACTAAAATGGAGAAGTAATCACAAGTTCAACTATGCACAAGAAGCAACATTTCTGCATGTGCTAACTAAATTAATCTATCATTATAAACTAGATCTCAACTAAAATATAGATGATACATACCACACTAATCCCACCGCAACCGTGAACAAGATCGTAGAGACAAGCTCTTGCGCAAATCTTGATTTGTTTGAAACTTTAGGATTAACCTAACAAAGTAAAGACATGCGTTAAGAATTTACAATATAGGGAACCATCAAGAACCTATGAAAATATACATCACCAGATGGGTAATATAAGAGACTTACCATGGTAACATGCAATGGTTGCTTTTCAGATATACCGGGGTTTACAAATGATTCGTCCATATTGCCTGATGCACGATGCTTCAGCTCTTGCAGCTGCACACAAACCAATGATTTACTACAAATACAACAACACTAATTTAGAAACAAAGACAACTAAGAACATTCTAAGTTTGAGTCCTGTGAACAGAAAAAAGCACCGACTACATACAGAACTATTCACCTCAGTTGGAGTTATGGATAACATTTTTAGGGATATAGACAGTAGAAACAATAAGAGACAGCAGGCTAATCAAAGTGTAGACCACCTAAAAACAAATAATCGAACCACAGATTCTAGTAGTGATGGTAACAATACCAGTGCGGGAAGACTAGATGGCTTCCCCGTTTGTTCATCAGGAAGATACTCTGAAATAGCATTTGTAATGACAAGAGCTCGAATATATTCAGCAACTCCTCTACTATCCACAGCGTGTTCCCTTTGTTCAAACCGTTGAACTACAGCCTCAGGACTGAATCAAAGAAAATATAACACCACACAACACAAAATCAATCAAAAATCAATTAAATTCAACTACACCAACTCCTAAATTACACAACGAATCAATCAGAGCATGATGAAGTTTACATACATATGCTTGTTGAGCTCAGCCAATAAAGCACCCTGCAAAGCTGCGTCCTTTGGATTAGCATCAGCCTCAGCAATAAGTTTCTCGAGCCGCTTCTCCTGGCGAGAGAAAGGCCACCAGCTTAACCATTCCCACTCCATGACTTTCTCGATAGCTCTCTTTATAGCCGCCCATAGTGCCATCATCAACACCACAATCCGAAACTTGCTTTTCTTCTGATCTTCCTCCTTGCCTTCCGTTACTCCATTACTAACCTCCGCTGCTTCATTCGTACCCTCACCACCCACAAATCTATCATTCGTCTCTAATTCCGAAACCTCCGTATCAGAAACCAATCTATTACTCTCAGCTGAATCCGTAATCTCACCGTTGGTAACAAAAGCGGAGTCTTTGGGAAGGAAATCGGAATCGGAAGCGACATTGTCTTGGCGCAATGAGCAAGGAAGGGGACGAAATCGAGAGTTGTGAAGAACTGAAGAAAAACGGTAGAAACTGGAAAGAGATTGAGGATGAAAACTCAAAGAAGAAGAGAAGAGAGAAGGATAAGGCTCAAAGGAAGAAGTATGGAGAGGAAGACGAAGAAAAAGAGAAGCTTGAAGAGTTGAAGAAGACATTGGAGTGTTTTAGTTTTAGTTTAGGGTTTTTGAATCCTTTATCTTCTTCTTCTTCCTCACAGGCCAAAAGAGAAGACTTTACTTGGAGACTTGGGAGCCACAAGATCCTCTCTTTATCTTCTTTTTTTTTTTTCACTTTGAGTTTAAAAAACCTTATCCAATAATTCTAATAACCAATGTTTCTCAAATTTTGGCCAATGGTAATCTTTCACTTGTAGACGATTAGACAGAGTTTTGATAATGAAAATGATATGGTGAGTGGCGAGAGAGAGAGAGAGACATAGATTAGAGAAATTAAGTTCTTTCTAATACATTTCTCAAATGGTTTTATCGTTAAAAATCATCTTTTGGACACAAGTACTAGTGTTCCAAAAAAAAAAAAACAGAGCTACTAGAGATAAAGAGAGAGATAAAACATCTTTGTCTTCGACTTTTGAGGGACTTTCTTTCTCACTCTCTAATGCATTGGACCAGGACCACCATAATGCTGTGGAGGCATATGACCACCCGGACCATAATGCATTGAGCTTGAAGATGGTGGTGCCATGTAAGGATTGTGACCACCACCACCCATTCCCATTGAGCCTTGCCCTCCTGGTTGGACCCATCCACCTTGTGGTGGCTGCTGCTGCTGCTGGTGGCTCCCACCTGCTGCGTGGTATTGCTGTGGATTGCCGGTGTATGGATTCTGACCGGGTTGTTGAGGCATTGGAACCGGTGGGTTGGGCATTGTGTAGTCTCTGCTTCTATCGTTGTTCACCTTTATGCTGAGGTCAGTGTGGCGTGAATAAGTAATGTGGAGCTTACAAAAACCACCATCATAGATACAATGTCCTTCCAATGCTTCCTTCGCCACAACAGCCGTTTGAACATCTGAAAGAAACCCGTCAAAGTCATTTGAGAATTTGCTCTTTATGAGCTCAATGACAATTGAAGCAGACCATATCATACAAGATGTTACCTTTGTATTGGATCAGTGCCTGTAGCCCACCATTCTTGTCAAACATTGCAATTTTTTGAACATCCCCAAAAGCCGCAAAAACCTACTCGTTAATAAAAAAGGGAAGAGAATCAATATTTTCAGAACCAACGTTTAAATCAGGTTTCAGAATAGAACAAGTATTACCATGTGTAGAACATCCAAGGTTACTGCATACTGCATGTTTTCAATGGATGCGAGAAGAACATTACTCTCAGGCTCCATCTTCTTCCCGTCTACACCCACAGCCACCTAGTAAGAATGACACATTAATCTTTCACTTTAGTAATTAGAACAATAAATGATGTCTGCACTTTTTCATGCATCTCTTTGTATACACATCACCAGTAAGATTTTCAACCAAGTAGAAAGCAGATTTACAATTATAAATGCATTTTCCAGTAACAGACTGTTCTCAAATTGCTCACCTGACCAGTACTGTCAATGGCTGATGGAGCAATTGGAAGGTAAGGATTAGTATAGTCCCTGCAAAATAAAGAAGAAACAATTCAGTAATTTTGGTCTCAGAAGCATGGCAATCACCAAGTAAACCAAAACATGTTTCAAAACACAATGTGAATAGACATACCTGCTCCGATGACTCTGAAATTTGACAGTCAGATCTGTATGAGCTGAATATGTGATTTTAAGTGAGCATTGTCCCACTTGCTCAGCAAGTAGATACCTAATGCGCAGAAAGATAAGTCAGTAAACAAGTATGCCTCACACATAACAAACATATAGAATCTTATAAAGCAAAGCCTCTATGGTTTGCAATAAAATAAAGACACGATGTTTCCAAGAATCCTAGATGGAAAAACTATCCTCAATCCAAGTATCTACCAATGGCTACAGTATTTTCCCAGGTTTGTACATGAAAAGACTAGTTACAAATTTAGTTTTCCTACATCTATCAACGATATTCGCCATACATCACTTGGGAACTAGCCATAGTGCTAAAACTCCTACAGACGCTTGAAATGCTGCCAAATGTCAGACCCTCCAAACAATATCTAGAACTATGCAGCCCTTCACAGTTAGACTAAATACCGTGTCAAAAATTTAATACAACTGTCACCTAGGGATGCTTCTTCCATCGAGGGCATTTTTTGCAGACGTTGCAGTTTCCTCATCAGAAAATTGAACCAGTGCCTGAGAGCAATTCAGAAAATAAACATTTTTAAGTAGAATAAATATTAACATCAAAATACAAAGCAAATTTATGGCTTGGTAATATACCTGATATCCGGCTGTCTTCTCGAAAGTAGTAATCTTGTGGACAAACCCAAATGCCGAGAATACCTGCAATGCAAACCAGTAATTAGAACAACAACAAAAAAAATCCAGAGTCAACTATAAAGACTCCAGTGTAGCATCTGTAATTATTTTGCACTTCAGCAACATTCCAAGAAAAATTTAGTTTGGGTTAACTCTCTACATATAAAATTCATACAGCATCACAGAAGTAATGATAGCAACTTTAACCAACAGAATATGACGTGACAAGTGTGATTTCAGGTTACACTCTCTGGAAGGCATAAGATATGTCTTCAACACATCAAACAATCATATTAGACACAAAGTACGTCTCAAAATGTTAGCAGATTGATGAACCTCTATGATACAGTCCTATATCACAAAAGATGTGCAGAACTGCAGATAGAGCAGCATCCTATCATATCAAACAAAAAAACTAACTACACATATGTAAAATAGAGCTGCACCCTATCATATCAAACAAAAACACTAAACTACACCTATGTAAGACCATATCTTAGAAATCCTAGAATATATCTAAGAAAAGGGAAGTGTTAGGGAGAGAGTAGGGAAAAGAGAGGCAGTGTCAGGGAAAGGAGAAAGGAAACAAACACACATGTGCTCTTTCTCCTAATGCATTAGGCTGCCACTGAAGATATTGCCTTGACATGGCCCTGCTGATCCATTTACATTCACGTCAAAAGAAAGTTTTCAAAAGCACAGACAACCTAAAACCTAATGATCAGAACGTCTTCGAAACATCTTTCAGCAATATGTTTACATCATCTAACGAAACCAATTGGGTATGTGATCCACTTACCAGATGCAAGACATCAATGCTGACCATACGAGCATCCTCGCCTTCGACAGTCACCAGAAGAACATTCCCCACAACATCCGCTGTCGTCTTGTTATTCACTATCTCTTGCCTGTTGGAGTACTGGAGGTAGACAGTTTTACCTCGAACTTGAGCAGGCTCCGACGAAGAAGCATAGTAAGAAATCATTTGTATAGCTTGATTTAAATCTTCCTGAAAAAGAAGAAACAAAACAAAAATCAACAATGATAACAAATAAAAATCAAAACTTGTTGTTGTAACTTTGGCATAATCTCTTCCAACTTACAAACTCAATGAAAGCTTGATTTCGATTAGCTCCAACATTGCACTTTGTATTAACAACAGTACCAAAAGGCTTGCCGAGTTCAATTAACTCTTCTTCAGTGCATTCCCATGGCAAGTTTCTCAAATGAAGAACCTTTGAAGGAGGTTGCGTGTAACGAAACTGTGGCTGGCTTGAAACAGATGACATTTCTCAAACGAATCTTGGAGCTGTGAATAACAAACTCTTCAGATCTCAACAAATTCGTCACAAAAATCAAACAAAAATTGACGTCTATGAAGAATCAATATCGAGCCGAAGAAATTCAAATACGCTATAGGATATGAATGAATTACCTGAAGAAATCCTCTGAGATTGGGCAAAATCTGCAGAGAAGTTAGGGTTTCGCGTTGGGGAAGATAAAGAAGAGACGAAGATTTGGGATAGGGATTATTTGGGAGAATCCAAAAGTGCGTTTTATGTCGCGGTTTCTTTAAAACGCCGTTTGTTTTAAGAGCGTTTTTCGTTGTTGGGCTTTATGAATAGAATCAATACATATATGGGCTTTAGGCTTTCATTGGCCCATTATTACGAATAAACAAAATTCAAGAAGAGTTGATTAAACAAAAATTAATGGTGCTTTCTGTGGTTTAAACTTTAAACCCATCTTTGGTTAATAAAACCCATCTTTACTAATATTTTTACAAAAAAAAAGTATTTCAGTAATTGTCCGTTATCAAACGAAGTATCATTTCGTCAAAAAAAATTAAAATTTTGATATCTCTTTTTTTTTGTTTTTCCATTTTTGTCAACACATTGATCTTTCGTTTACATATACATTTCATCTTAGAATATAAAATACAAAGGAAAACATAGCACTTCCACCTTTATTTTTCACATGATCAACAATATCATCACCACCATAACTTATAGAGATGGTGTAACATTATGTAATGAAAGCACAACACATGAGGTGTTTACATAAAATATCTCTGGATTTTCAAGGAGTTTTTGGGAAAATACATCCGAGATATTATATCGATGAGGTTGAAATCTTACATGCATTGTTGGAATTCTTCTCATTGGCATCAGTATCACGATCAACGTCAACTACAAGCTCAAGTGCGGGATTGTTCTTCTCATCATCATTTCGTTTGGTGATCACCATTGTTGTTGGTGATAAATCCTTCTTATTCTTGTACTTGAAGTAGAGAATAAGTTGGAGAATCCCCAATGGAGTCGCCACCATATTAGGTGACTATATGTAAATAAATCAGTCAATATATGCCATCATCAAAACCATGCACATGAAAATCTCAATGATTTATTACAATGTAACTAAGCTAATTATATATTCACAATCATTGTAATGGACTTTCTTTCTATCGTTATATATCGTTTCATAGACCACTAACCAAAGTTCTAAAATTCGCTAGTCATAAGTCGATCAAAGTTTACCAACTACTAGGTTAGATTGACTAGGCGACAATCAACGCATTTAACATATTCTAGTATTTTATTTGAATGGCTAAAAATGAAAGGTTAATTAGTATTCTACGTATTAACAACATAATTGAGTTATGTAACATTTTTTTTCAGTAACAAGTATCCAGACTAAAATCAAGATTAATTCGCGAGATATGCGAAAACATGTTTTTTTTGTTTCTACTGTGGCTAACCATAATTGAAATCTTAGTAGGAAAACTCAAATTTTGATTTCTCAATCTTTTTTTTTTGGGCAAAAAATTTCTCAATCTTAAAATAATTTTTTCAACCACTGAATCACCATATGAATTGATTAACGTCAAATTAGTTTGTGATCGATCACCACAAAAATGGACTAAATTTTAAGAATTCATCAGAAAAACGATTTTTTTTTTTATTTTCGACAATTTCTCTTTACAGTCCACAAAACAAGAAGTTTTTAAATCCACATTTAGTATTTTTGGACTGCTATTTAAGTAAGTTAAATTATGGAAAATGAGCGAATTAGGAAAAAAAAACAAAAAAACGAACCGCAAGAAAGAGATCATGGCTGAGTAAGCCATATGCCAACCAAAGGGAACTAGCCAGAAATGAGAAGAAGGACAAGTAGAACGGCATGTATTCCACACTTTTTGTCTCTATCACTTTCTTCTGCGCACACACAAAAATTCACATTAATTAGCACACACGCATTCTTATTTTTTGCCAAACGAAATATCTCTAACTAATATAGTTGATTTTATTTCCTTTGGAAAATAGTAATTTTTTTTTTTGATAATTATATCGATGCATATATTTGGCTTACCATAACGATGAGAGGAGAACCGTACATGGAGATGGAAGCCACGAGGCCAATACTTCCGACGAAAGATTTCCGGTGGCGGTGGTCGTCAAATACCACGGCTGAGATTGCTGTCGTTAAGCCGAACACAACGATCACCGGAACAAGTGTAACACCAACCTTAATCTATTTCAATGTTAAATATATATATGGATGTGTCACTAATTTTTATTTTTCCATATGATTCTAATGAACATTTTACCTTTTCTTTGGGCGACGCGTAGTAGTAATATATGAAAATGAAGATAGATTCGAGAAGGATGCCGACTCCATTAATGGTGACGAGAGGAAGATTCTCCCAAAGATGACTCACAATCGGTAAACCGTACCAAGTATAAATCAAACAGTTGAAGAGTGTCATAACGTAAGGAAAACATGAGAATTCCTCTGTGCTTTTCTTCTTAAACACCCTTGAAAATGTTAATCTACATGCCCATTAACAAGAAAAAAAGAGAGTTATAATCTAATTTCTTAGTATACAAATTAAATTGGTGATTTGATTTATAAAGTTTTCATTTACGTACATTGGAGCTGTATAGAGCAATAAGGAAGCTCCGTTTCCTGTAGAGTGACCATAAATAAGGTAAGAAAAACCAAAAACAAAAAACTTTATACAAATATTTACGTGTAGATATCATGTTACAAACAAAAAAAAACATTTTTTGGAAATTGTTAGATCGAAAACTAAGTTTAAAAGTAAGTAATTATATTTTAAAAATCGAGAAAGAAAAGAGTGTGTGGTAGAGTAAGAAAGTATAATACTACACAAAAAGTAAAGAAAAAATACCCAAAATTCCGATAGATAATCGAAGTTTATCACCCATTTGATTGGCAGGAAGAACAAATATTAGGGAAATGTTGGGAAGTAGGAGAGTTACGTCTATAATGGGTGTGTATATATATAATAATTTGTCTTTAGTGTTCATTTAAAATAATAATAATCTATATTTGATCACAAGTTTGGGACATTTGGTAAATTAACATTTTGTTCCAAAAATTATATTGGTGTGATGAAATGAATAACAATTGCTTCTTTCAGTTTTTTGTTTTTCCGAAAACATAGAGACCAAGCTTGAATTAGAAAAATCCACTGAAAATTTTAGAATTACACACAATTTCCATACACGGATGTTTCATTAACTAGAAACGAACCTACTTCTTAAGTTTTTTAAAGTTAATTTCAAATTCTTGGAGTTATCAGATCATTTATATGACATTATTATAGACTTGTGTGGAGATTAAGTAGTTGTTTATAATACAATATTAATGTCTTCCACACACTTATTTTTTTTGGTAGTCTCTTCCACACACTTATTATATACACGCATAACATTAGATGATATATCACACAAATTGTATGATTCAACAACCTATTAGCAACCATTCCAGTTTCACAAAAAAAAAAAAAGCAACCATTCCATGCATTACAAATTACAAAGGCTTATATCTTACAAAAGCAAATTTTTATCATTTTTTTTTATGAAAGCAATTTTATCGGATTATAACCTTATATATTCACTATAGAAATTTTTAAAATAAAATTTGGTTTCGTTTAATGATTGTGAAAGTATCACGAGGCACATTAACGTCTACAATGACGATACTGATGCGCAAAAAGTGTTTGATCCAATTCTTACACACAAACCTTTTTTGTTAAATTAGATAGTGCACACACAAACTTTGATTATGTTTGTATTACACTAAATTCCGAATCAAATAAAGAAGGCTGGTTTATTTAAGTGCTTATGGAAGATATAATAGAAAATGATAATAATGGATATAGATAAAAAGGAACTCCATTAAAAAAAAGGTGAAAAACATATATAAGTTAGCTTTGTGGTGGGTTAGCAACACGTGGGGTGTGAAACTAGTGTCCTCTATCAAGGATATTTGTATATTAATCTTGTAAATAAATAAGGATTATCTATTTTAGTTATAAATTTGGGTTTGAGCCAAATTATATTTGAAATGCACAAACGATTAATTATGATTTTCTTATGGTTTATTTTGCTCAGTTTCCATCTCTGCTCTATTGTCTCTTTCTTATCCACAAACTTCCCGCTCTCTCTTTTTTTTTTAAAATAAATATTAACTAACAATTATTATTTGGGTATTATATATTTACCGTTTATTACAGTATTATTGTTTTCTCAACATCAAAACACTTACCGGAGAAGATACGCATCTTATATACCCAAGTCCAAACTAATTTGCGAAACATGTATTTCCTACGTTAAAACTTTACTTTGTTCTAAATTTACCGATTAATTCGAGTTGCTAGACTACCATATAACACTGCAAGAATCAAATTTTGAGTTTCAAGAACCTAACGAACTAATAGAATGCGGTGAATTTAGAAAACTAAAATGATATAACATTACAAAAAAAACTAAATGCAAATATACATTTTCTATTTTAATATATACTTTTTGGTCACAATAATGCATGCATTAAGCCATATAGAGATTGAAATTAAAGAACTAAGAAAGAAAGAGTGAGAAAGTTTTCGGAAGTTGGCTAAGTTGTTCTTTATCAAAAAAAAAGTAGGCTAAATTGTTGGAATCGTAGTGGAAATGGCACCAAGGACTTCTATTCTTCCTATGTGTCCTTATTGCTTATTAATGTTTGTCCTCCCACATAGCACAACTTTTCCTTTTGATTTTCTGGTTACATTTATATAAATTTACAAGGGAAGTAGTGATTTTATAAAGTTCTTAGAGCAATCTAGTTTACCAAAGAAAAAAAAACTAGGTCAAAAGAGATGACAAATGATGAGACAATCGATCCAAATTGGAATACTCAGAACGATGTTTTTAGGTAGGCCTCTACTGATGACAATTTATGTCAAGTATGAGATAGGATCGAGTCAAACTTAAATAAGCCACGAGATTTCTTCTAGAGATGAGCCTGATCTTTATTCGGTTTTGTGGAGTCTTGCGTTACGTTGCTTCCAAATTGTATGTAAGGATATTGCATACAAGCCTTATTAGGACATAATGTCCCACATCGGAAGTTGGAAGGGATCCTAAGTAATATATAAGGGATATGGGTCACTCCACTCATTGCCAATTGGTTTTGAGTTGGAAGCCCATAGAACTTAACATGGTATC